AAGCAACGCTGCCAACGACCACCCCACCACCGCCCACCCCCCCCCCCCCCCCCGTGAAAAAAGAAAAATCTTGAGACTCGGGATGAACGTCGGGGAGAAACAAGTGTCCAACTCTACACGCGACTAAACAACGGGGAACAAGCGGTCCAATCGGGTCGCGGGGGAAACGGAATCGATCGCAACTCATCGTTGCGCACCTCCGCATTCCCGTTCCCGAGACATCGGCTTTACGGATCAAGCCAGGGCAAGAAGTCCCAACCGATCTGGCTCCCTTTTGCGGACGTCCAACGGCATTGCGCCGGGGGGCGGCACACGCCACGAGCGAGGAGCGCATCTGCCGTTGGTGGACACAACGCCTTGCACGCGGGGCGGGCGCCTCGCCTCGGTGCAAACCGGTGCGCGAGGCTTCGGCACAAATGGCGCAAAAACAACACCAACACACAAAAAAAGGACGGGGTAGGGGGGGGAAGGGGAGGGGGGGAAGGGGTCTGTAAAAATCACAACGTGCGTTTGTCAATTTAAATTCGGTCAACGTTTACAATTCGTAGCCGAAACCGTGCCGGCGCGTTTGTGCAAAGGTCGCCGTGGGGAGGAGCCTCGGCCTCGCCGGGTCACTTCTGTAGCGAGAGCGCTCCGCGATTCAACGCCCCCCCCACCGCCTACCCCGTTTATTTCTGCGCGCTTGGAACGGAGTTACGGTTATCCTTGCCGAAGGCACCGCCGGCGTGCACCGCCGCGGGAGGGGGCGGGTTTCGTTCTGCGTATCGCCATCGAGCGTTTGTGAACCCTCTCAAAGTTCTATTCGGTAAAGTCACGTAGGTAAAAAATAAAATAACAAAAATCATGGCCCATGCACCTCCTACGTACATCGTGCTCATTTTTATGCTAATTCCTTCGTCAGGCGTTTTGCTTCCTCCCACACGGCTTAAAGGACGCGACCTGGGCTTGGCTGTTTTCACGCCAACGCTGTCCTCATGACAGCACGGTCCCTTCGCCTGATGAAGGCCGCTTGTGTTGTGGCCGAAACGTCGTGATTTTTGTTATTTTATTTTTTACCTACGTGACTTTACCGAATAGAACCGAAGAGTATGGATCCTTGCAGTCACGAAAGCTTCAAATCTAGAACCCTCTCGAAACTATCGCCGCGCACTACTTTGAACCGACTGCGGCATCGTGGCACGGTCCGCAAGATCGATACGCGGTGCACAACGCTCATCGACGGCACCCGCAGCAGTGCGAAGCGACAGCGAGACCTAACCCAGACAAACCGTGCTTAGAAGTGGCTCCAAACGCAGCCACTCGCACGTACACACACACACAGCATGCAATGTCCACCCCGTGCTGTGCACGTTGGGCAACAGCGCAAGTGGCGGCTGGCTTTACTTTGCACGAAACCGCTGCCATTGAAGTCACAACGGGCTTTTTGTGTTTAGTTCAATGTCCTACCCCCCCTCCCATCCCTCCGCACCTTCCGATTAGCACGGTTGGCTACGTACGGTGCAAAAGAAGTTCAACGTACATACGTACGTACGTACAGGACACGGATCAGTTTCAGCAAAACCACACCGCCCCCGTGTGTGTCTCTCTCCTCAACAGAGGACGTGCTCAGGGTGAGGACGTGTTCAGTGGACAGTTCTGGCTGGCACAAAATCAGAGCTGGGATGATGATTTCAGTCAATTAATCGGATAAATGTTGCAAGCAAAAATGTTGGTTGTTGTCGCCGATTGCTATCCGGGGCTCCTTTCAAATTAACGGCCGCCCCCACGTCAAGCCAAATGGACCAGAACCTCCCGCCCAGCGGCAAGCGCGCCAATAATTATCAGCGATCGATCGTTCACGGACGGGATCCCGACGACCGCTGCCCACTCTCGCGCGACAAGCCGAAAGGAAACGGCTCCGTTGCTATACCTCGCTCGGGCCAGCCCATCGTAAAAACCACAAAAGCCACGCGCAAAATACCCGCCAACGTCACTCCACACACCCAGTCCTCCTCCCGCACGCGAGACATCGTCCACGCCGTTCTCTCGCGCAACGCTCTTCGCGTACAACGGTGCCCGCCGTCGACCGAAGGCCGCACCTCGGATGTCCGTCCTGGGCCTGCCGGCCTCGCCCGGGGTGAAAGCTAGAAGGCGCAGCCCTCCAACTGCTTGCTCGCGCCACCGCTGGCAGATGGGCCATCCTCAAGCGGGTGTTTTGGGTCTACTCTTCCACAGGGGCCAGACAATCTTGGAAGAGGTGGGGAGTACGGCACACTTTACCCCCCACCACACCGCACGTGAGCCGCCGATCAACTTAACAGTGGTTAACCCATTTACACCGCTGGGCGGCCAGAGACTGCGGGTGGGGATTTGAAGAAACCTGCGACGTCGTTTCACCTGCAGCGCCATCCGCAGACGGAATGGAACCGGCGACCCGCGGAATGAGAGCCCAGCGTGGGGTCACCACTACAACACGACGGCGGGAGCAGCGTCGCCACGTCTCTGAAACACGCGGACGAGGATAAAAATGTAAACACTTCGTATTAGAGTTTGAAACCTTCCGTTTCGTTTGGCGCGTGACAGCTAAACCCGTGTGTCCGGGTTTAGTATTTTTTTTTTTAAACAGCTTCTGGACGAATGCGTGAACGATCGCGAGGTGACGGGCGAGGAGCAAACGAAGGTTTATGAACTTGCGAGCGGAGCGCGTCGCCCTGCGCGACGCAAGAAGGAACGAGGAAACGGAATTTGGCGCCCGCAAGCGGAGAACGAATCGTGAGGCAATCGTAATAAATAGCGTCGACGCGCAACCGGCACATCAACAACACGCCGAGAAATTGCACCGTTACGTTTCATTAACTTACAAACTGAAACGTGTTTATGGGAGGGTGGTGGTGGGGGGGTGGGGATGATGGCGCGAGAGAAAAAACTGGAATACGTGAATTATCAGCAAGAACCTAACACGATGGACGGGCATCGCCATCGGCCCAACACGCCCCTCACGCCGTTATGCGTCAGTGAGGCTCCGACCGCGCGTCTTCAATCCGGCCACGTTTCCAACGAAACGAAAACGACGCAGCTCAAAGGATTCAAAAGTAACGCGGTAAGAAAATAAAACGCTTGCCAGCATTCGAGCTTTTTTTGAGTATGTGCATTTATATGTGCATAGTGTATACACAGTGTATATTCCATATAGTGTATATAATTTTACATATATGTACTCTGCACACACATACACATGCACGCACGCACACACGTCATATATCTTTTTTTTTTACTACGCAGAAAAAAAAATATACCCTAATCTGCCGAGGAGCATATTTGCAATCGGTATGCATACGTCTCCCGGTTTGTAGATGTAGCACGCCGTCTCTCCAATACCACGGACGACGACCGGCCATCGCGCGCACGGCACAATAAAAACGACGAAACAGAAACCGAGACGGGCCGGTCGGATCGCGGAAGAAAAGAGGAAACTATTTAAGAGAATCATCGGAATTATTCAGCCGCGATCCCCATGAGGTATTGGGCGAACGAACGGGGATCCGGTCTTATCATCTTCACAGGTCTGGGAGGTGCCGTTTCCGGACACGCGCCAAGCAAAAGCGACTTTGGCAGCGACGGACGATGCTTGGAGGAATTATCGCTGTGTGCATTTCCGTCGCACTGCCTGCTCCCCCCCGCCCCCGATTTTCTACGTTTTTGTATTTTTTAGCTAGTGAGTCATCACCGAGTTAAGCGCACACGCACATGTGTGTGCGTGCGGGACCACACATTTGCCGTGTGCGAGAGGGCGGCAAGCGGTAAGCCCCAAACGTTCTGGCGTGTTCCATAATCAGCGGCTGTAGTAATCGCCGTCACAGTCATACTAGTGGTGGTGGGGGGGGGGGGGGGGGGGGGGGGGGGGCGGGGGGCGACTAGGTTTTAAACATTTGCCTTTGGACTGGAATTTGGCTTTGCATGATGGGAGTTACAGATTTTAGCTTGGGGTTTTTTCAACGTAATTGTTTTTGTAATTTTTTTGTTTTATATTCTGAAATCGACTTTTTGCCCCTTCGCCCGAGTTAGCCCGGAGGCTGCCCGAGGCTTTCCCGGAGAGTGTGGCCGCGCGCAAAAAAACCGCGCCCTAAGCAGAGGCACATTGGGTCCCTTACGCTTCAACGAATACATTCAGATACAAACGGCAAATAGATACACACACGTCGGGCGCAGGGGTCGATCGAGGGGGGAAAGAGAAAGTGCGGATCGGGGCGTAGCTGGCATAAGGGACTCACACCCACAACAATAAAACATCGCGGTACGGTCCAAGGTTAACAAAACGCACTTCCGAGACGCGCAGAGAGCGCTGGATTACGGCCCTCTCCCATCGGACCGACAGCAAGGTGAGAATGGTGGGGGGGGTGGCGGCACGGCGCTCTGCGCAAACGCTGCCGCCGGCTTCTTGCCGAAACACCAAAGCAAGCGCGGCACAGAGGGGTTTTGCTGCCGTTGTCCCGGCAAGCGGGAACACGCATCGGACCGCCGCCTCCAGCCGCCTTCCCTCCACCACCGCTCGCGCTTCTCTCCCGTCGGTGGCGACAGGAAAGAGAGGCCACGGATTTTGACGGCGTACATTTTGGCGTCCCTTTTCCACTCGTGGATATGTTCGCACACGACGCAGCTTTCTCTGTGGCCGATTAAAAGATCGATGTTTGTTTTCATCTTCAAATATTGGTTCTGTGCTGCACTTGATATTTCTTAGTTAGTTTTTTTTTACGCCTTTTCTTTGGAAACGATGGCACATATTTAGTCGTCGCCCTATAAACATCCGCGAGTACGGACAAGACACACGGCAGCACCCCTCCCCCCCCCCCCCCACCACGTGATGAGGCCACCGTTAAAGACGACAACAACACAACATCTCCAGGGTCAATACTGTTCAACGTAAATGTTTGAGTGCAAGGACATTTTCTTCCGACTGCAGCGGCTGCTATCGAGCGCGTAAGTGGTGGCCTCCGGCGACTCACCATCACCGAAAGGAAATCGCTCGAAGGAAGAAAAAAAAGAGGGCACCTACGAACGCACACAAAACGCACGGACCACGGTGTGCTGACGCCGAAAAAAAAAGAATAAAAATTCTTAAACCAAAGCCTGGATTTTAAAATGAACATCGAATCCTCGAAGGTGACCCACGCTTTTACCGACGCCAAATTCGCCGGCGCCCACACTCGGAACGGTTTCGCCGAAGTGAAAAGTGGCGGAAAGGCGACGTTGGAAGCGTGGCTCGTCCGAATTGGTGTGGGCCACGAGGACAAGCTGGGGGGGGGGGGTTGTGTGTGTAGGCGCGTTTTTTAAATATTGCGGGGACAAACGTCGACGGTCCAACTCGCGTCGGCAAATTAACGGCGAAGATCTCTTCCCCCGCGTCCCTTGTGGACAAGGAGTCCCATGGCATGAATCCACGACACCGCAAGAGAGTGGAATGGTTCAGAGATTCGAAGGGAAACTACAAAGTTAGCGCACTTTCTTTTGGAAAAGACACAGGATTCTCAACGTGCAATCTCGGGCACGTTGTCCAAATAGTTATCTTATTTTACTTAAGATGTAATTGGAACTGCAAAACAAACAAACCATTATTAGCATAACTGCCTTGAACCACCCCAAAAACCATCCAACAACAAAAAAAACACAATGTACTCCGTGCCACAAATTAACCGTTTTTGTAAAAATAAAAAAAAAAATAAGTGAAAAAATAAAAAAATCGGCCAAGAAATACGTTTTCATCTCCTTAAATATTTCCGCGTGTACCGTTTTACAATTGTCGCGGGGCAGCCGAAACGAAGTTTCACATTATGACCATGTGCTGGATGAAGACCGCGATGAGGATGGAGAAGCCCGCGAACGCGACGAGGATGATGGCGGCCCACTGCTCGTCGCTCAGCGCCTTGGCCGCCCCCTCCGCAGTCGCGGCGGCGCCACCGCCGCCGTCGTGGCCGCCGCCCGGCCTGGCGGCCCCGTCCGCCGAGGCCTGCGACTGCGGCCGTTGCAGGTGAAAGGTCACGGCGGCGCCGAACGGACCAATCAGCTCCCGCGTGGTCGCCCCCGTCCCCGGCGACAAAGACGGGGACGTCGCCGTGGCGGCGGTCGCCGCCGACGACCACGAACATGAAGACGACGATGACACCGTTGACGACGATGACGACGAGGAGGTTGTTGTTGTTGTTGTTGACGATAGCTGAGCGGCTGCCGGGGGGACTCCCTGCTGCTCCGTGCACTGGCGGATCGCGCAAGCGCGCAGGCGGTACTCACTGCCCGTGTGCAGCCCGTAGAGCCGGTGCTGCGTGTCCGGGCCCTTGTACACCTAACAGGGGTTGGGTGACGGGGGGGGGGGGGGCAAGCGTTCACAACGCGACGGTCACTCGTCCGCTTGTCCAATCGGCGAATGTCACCGGGTCATTCGTTCAGTTTTATTTGATTTTACATGCGGCCGATGAAGTTGGTGAAGCTGCTGCATTTGGCAGCGCGATCAACAATAAAAAAAAACGATGCCTTCATCAACAGCAGTGGGGGGGGGGGTTACAACACTGCCGCTGCCCAACGTATAATAAAAGCGGTGTTTTTTTTGTGATAGCTCTTGTTCATAGCGCAAACACTAAAAAGGGCCATTGCCCTGAAACGTCACCTATTATATATTTTTCCTTTAAAGGTCGCGCAGCGTTGTTAACGAACGGGCTGAATTATAAAAAAAAAAAATAGTTTTTATATATATAAACCAGGGGTCAGCAAACCAAAATATATCAAGAGCCGCAATGCAATGTGAACAGGAGAGGCGGTGGTGCTTAAACAAATAATTTAACGGAAGCAGTAGTTAAAGAGCCGCATGCAGGCTCCCGGATCCGCAGGTTGCCAACCCCCGGCGTAAACCGATCCCAGTGGAATTATTAATTGTATTGTTTCCAGGTAAGCCGTCACTGGCACGCCCAAAAACGGTGCACGTCATCTCCCCCGACCACATCCCGCTCAATCGCGTCCGCCACGCCGTCGCAGCGCCGGCGCCGACCTGCTTGTAATCGGCGTCCCTGGCGGTGGCGACGAGCGCCAGCTGCAGCACGTAGATCACGGGGTCCGACCGCATGGGTGGCACGGCCTCCCAGAGCACTTCGCAAGCGTTGCCGTCCATCTGTTGCACCCGCAAGCCTGCGCGCGCCCGAGGGGGGGGGGGGGGTGGCGATTGCGGGGGTAACGTGCGCGGGGGCAAGTCGAGTGTCAGAGCATCGCACGGCCTAAGGGCCGTCCCCCGCCCCCCCCCCACCCGGCAAAATCCCCCAAGTGAGCCCCCTTCCCGAGGGTCCTTCCTGGCCTCGAGCTCCCCGAGCGTCTCGGCAGTAGCCGTTGATCTGTAGCCAACCCCTCGGCCGGCTCCTCCACCGACAAAGTTCTCGAACCCGGTAGAACCCGGGAGAGGCTGGGTCGCACCCAGGGGGACGTGACAGGAAGACACGGACGCACGCACGCACGCACGCACGCAGGAGCCTACGGCACCACAGCGCGCCCGTCAAAACCATGTCCAGTATCTCGGGACAACTTTGAGAAAAACGCACGCGCAGAAACAGCCCAGGTGGGAATGGGATCAGCGCCTCAGAGGTGCGGTATCTACAAAAGGAGACAAAAGCCACGGAAGAAAAGCCTGGCCGGTTAAAACCGCGACAGAATCTGAGACAAGCCCAGCCACCCTCCGTTCCCGGCACGTGGGGCAAAACGTCGGACATCGTGTCGAGAGCTGCACAGCGATTGGCCAGGAGCACGCTGTTAGATATAGTTATAGTGCATATAGAAACCATCAGCACTGTACCTTTAACAAGATAACAATATATTTTGATTTAAAGCTTTCGTGACTGCATGGATTCATATTCTTGGTTCTTTCGGTAAAGTCACGTAGAAGGGAAACAATAAAATTAAATATAAAACAATACAATTCTATTGTTTTATATTTTTATTATTTTATTGTTTCCCTTCTACGTCACTTTACCAAAAGAACCAAGAATAAGATAACAATGTCTATATGAATCTGGGGGGGGGGATGGGGGCGATAATGAGAGGCGAGGGAGGATGTAACCAGCATTCTAAGGGGAGTTCATGGTGTGTGTGTGTGTGTGTGGGGGAGGAGCGGGGGGGGGGGGGGGGGGGGGGGGGACCGCTGTCCGCACCTTTGACAGCGGGCGGCAGCAGGCGCGTGGTACGGAAGGTGTGCGTCTCCGAGAAGGGGCCGTCGCCGGCCTCGTTCGTGGCCTGGATGCGGAAGGCGTAGGCCGTCCGCTCGCTCAGACGCTGCACCTTGAACGTGTGGCAGCTCCCCGTGTACACCGCCGTGAAGCTGGCGCGCGGACGCAGAGCAGAGGGCGTCACGAACCCCCCCCCACCTTCCCGCGTTTGTCTCTCTCCACGGGAACCCTTACCTATACTAAAATCAAAGAACTTTTTCGGTACCGAGGCTCCCAGAAAGACCATGCGGGAGGGGCGCGGCACAGTCTGGCGCCAGCTGTCGTAGAGCGCGGCGGTCGTGCCACGACGGTTCTCTGCGGCGAGCACAACGTCTTTAAAAGCAACGGTGCTGCTGCTGCTACGGTGCTGCTGCTACGCCTCTCGAATTCACATTAATGCCGAGCCGCTCGCGTGCTCCAACTTTCCGGGGTGAACGGGACACCACCCCACCGTGCAACTTGCAGAAGTGTCGGAACGAGAAAAGGTTACTAGAAGCAAACCTCTGGACCGGTTTTGACATTCCTCGTCTCATCAGCAGAGCCAGGCTTGCTTCAACCAATGCAGGTGAACTGCCTGACCATTTTGTGTATGAAATGTATTCCGAATATCTATTATTTTTGGAGTTTGCGCGTCTCCCTCGCTGTGGTAGCGTGGATTTTTCTCCGGGTGGTCCGATTTTTCCCCTCTACATTTAGAAACGTCCGTTTAAAGTATTTGGCTCCTATAAATTTACACGATAAGCCACTTCTTTGTGCTATCGTTTGTGAAAGCCAGGTCGCTTTTGAAAAAGAGCCATATATAGTGGGCCTCACCGGTTAAAATAAACAAAAATAGTTTATCTTTAAATAGTTAAGTTTAATGTACTGCTATGCTCACACAGCTGTGCTCCGCACTTTCACCAACCCTTCCTGATCACCGTGGTGAAGTATTATAGCTCTGGTCGAGCAGTTATAACTGTAATGCAGACTTGATGCCTTGCAAAAGGTATCTATTTAGTATTTGAATATATTAGCAACTCTTTTAAGGCCTGTTTAACTTTTATACTCTTTAACAGACAGAACACCGGCCAGGCAGTCCAACGGCGGAGCGAACGGCTCGCAATCGCCAGATTGAGAGCTCAAATCCTGATTGCGGTGGTGAGGTGAGGGGGGGCTGATCCTGGCTACATCAATCCCTCTGCGGTCAAAAACGAGTGCCACTTTGTGGGGAGGTCAACAGTGGCTGTGGGGAGGTCAACAGTGGCTGTGGGGAGGTCAACAGTGCCTGTGGGGAGGTCAACAGTGGCTGTGGGGAGGTCAACAGTGGCTGTGGGGAGGTCAACAGTGGCTGTGGGGAGGTCAACAGAGGCTGTGGGGAGGTCAACAGTGGCTGTGGGGAGGTCAACAGCGGCTGTGGGGAGGTCAACAGCGGCTGTGGGGAGGTCAACAGTGGCTGTGGGGAGGTCAACAGTGGCTGTGGGGAGGTCAACAGTGGCTGTGGGGAGGTCAACAGTGGCTGTGGGGAGGTCAACAGCGGCTGTGGGGAGGTCAACAGCGGCTGTGGGGAGGTCAACAGTGGCTGTGGGGAGGTCAACAGTGGCTGTGGGGAGGTCAACAGTGGCTGTGGGGAGGTCAACAGTGGCTGTGGGGAGGTCAACCGTGGCTGTGGGGAGGTCAACAGTGGCTGTGGGGAGGTCAACAGTGGCTGTGGGGAGGTCAACAGTGGCTGTCGGGAGGTCAACAGTGGCTGTGGGGAGGTCAACAGTGGCTGTCGGGAGGTCAACAGTGGCTGTGGGGAGGTCAACAGTGGCTGTGGGGAGGTCAACAGTGGCTGTGGGGAGGTCAACAGTGGCTGTGGGGAGGTCAACAGTGGCTGTGGGGAGGTCAACAGTGGCTGTGGGGAGGTCAACAGTGGCTGTGGGGAGGTCAACAGTGGCTGTGGGGAGGTCAACAGTGGCTGTGGGGAGGTCAACAGTGGCTGTGGGGAGGTCAACAGTGGCTGTGGGGAGGTCAACAGTGGCTGTGGGGGAGGTCAACAGTGGCTGTGGGGAGGTCAACAGTGGCTGTGGGGGAGGTCAACAGTGGCTGTGGGGAGGTCAACAGTGGCTGTGGGGAGGTCAACAGTGGCTGTGGGGAGGTCAACAGTGGCTGTGGGGAGGTCAACAGTGGCTGTGGGGAGGTCAACAGTGGCTGTGGGGAGGTCAACAGTGGCTGTGGGGAGGTCAACAGTGGCTGTGGGGAGGTCAACAGTGGCTGTGGGGAGGTCAACAGTGGCTGTGGGGAGGTCAACAGTGGCTGTGGGGAGGTCAACAGTGGCTGTGGGGAGGTCAACAGTGGCTGTGGGGAGGTCAACAGTGGCTGTGGGGAGGTCAACAGTGGCTGTGGGGAGGTCAACAGTGGCTGTGGGGAGGTCAACAGTGGCTGTGGGGAGGTCAACAGTGGCTGTGGGGAGGTCAACAGTGGCTGTGGGGAGGTCAACAGTGGCCTGTGGGGAGGTCAACAGTGGCTGTGGGGAGGTCAACAGTGGCTGTGGGGAGGTCAACAGTGGCTGTGGGGAGGTCAACAGTGGCTGTGGGGAGGTCAACAGTGGCTGTGGGGAGGTCAACAGTGGCTGTGGGGAGGTCAACAGTGGCTGTGGGGAGGTCAACAGTGGCTGTGGGGAGGTCAACAGTGGCTGTGGGGAGGTCAACAGTGGCTGTGGGGAGGTCAACAGTGGCTGTGGGGAGGTCAACAGTGGCTGTGGGGAGGTCAACAGTGGCTGTGGGGAGGTCAACAGTGGCTGTGGGGAGGTCAACAGTGGCTGTGGGGAGGTCAACAGTGGCTGTGGGGAGGTCAACAGTGGCTGTGGGGAGGTCAACAGTGGCTGTGGGGAGGTCAACAGTGGCTGTGGGGAGGTCAACAGTGGCTGTGGGGAGGTCAACAGTGGCTGTGGGGAGGTCAACAGTGGCTGTGGGGAGGTCAACAGTGGCTGTGGGGAGGTACAAAAAGAAAAGAAACAGTGGCTGTGGGGAGGTCAACAGTGGCTGTGGGGAGGTCAACAGTGGCTGTGGGGAGGTCAACAGTGGCTGTGGGGAGGTCAACAGTGGCTGTGGGGAGGTCAACAGTGGCTGTGGGGAGGTCAACAGTGGCTGTGGGGAGGTCAACAGTGGCTGTGGGGAGGTCAACAGTGGCTGTGGGGAGGTCAACAGTGGCTGTGGGGAGGTCAACAGTGGCTGTGGGGAGGTCAACAGTGGCTGTGGGGAGGTCAACAGTGGCTGTGGGGGAGGTCAACAGTGGCTGTGGGGAGGTCAACAGTGGCTGTGGGGAGGTCAACAGTGGCTGTGGGGAGGTCAACAGTGGCTGTGGGGAGGTCAACAGTGGCTGTGGGGAGGTCAACAGTGGCTGTGGGGAGGTCAACAGTGGCTGTGGGGAGGTCAACAATGGCTGCCGTACGATGGACTCGCCCCCACCCACAGGAACGTTGAATGTCCACCACTGCCTCAGCGCTGTAAACGGGAGATGAGCCACCAGCCTTCGACGCTCGCTTTGAGCAATACACATCCCTGATGTGTTCAAACAAAAAGCAATGGAACAAGCATAGATATTTTATTTCAATCTCCAGCCATGTTGAAGGGCGCCCCCGCCCACCCTCCCCCCGCCCACTCTCCCCCCCCCCGCCCAGGGCTCAATGTCTGGTCGGTTGTTGTTTTTTTTTCCATTGTGCGAATTATTTCGGTTACAAGTACATTGTCAACCGCGCGGCTACGGAGCGCGCCGGTGGCACTCCGAAGGAATGCAGGCGCCTGTCTCGACGCCGATTCGACGTCGGAACACAAGGCTATTCTCCATTTTGCCCGCGGGATGTTTGTCCCAGCACCGATTTATAACATTCCGCTCGCCCCGACGCAATCAGCTGGCTCAACCACCTCGATACGTAACATTGCAGTTGTTGCCCGACACCAACGTCAGCCGTCAGCCGTCCGAAAAAGATGTTGCAGGTGTATTTTGTTGAACCAGTGAGAACTCAATCTGTGCACCCCCTCCTTCCGATATTATGAAGCCACTGGAGCTATGCACTGTTCAATTAAAAAAATGTAAACACATTTCTCTCAAAAGTGGCATTTGTGTTTAGTTTGATGTCCTTCCCCCGCACCTCCGATTAGCGCGGTTAGCTTACGTACAAGTGCGAAAGAAGTCCAACATACATACAAACATTCATGTTACGGGGGCAAATAGAGAAGTGGACAAAGATAGAGACGAACGGGCAGGGCTAATGCATCAAACGGTTTCAACCTTCGTTGGCAAAAGCGTAACAAAACAGGGTTTTAGTGATGACGTTGTTCAACCCGGATTTCACAGCTGGCCACCGACATGCAGAGTTCTCACCTGTGTATAGTAGGAGTTGACCTTTGTACATACAGTGCCACGGTGGCGAGCTATTAACTACCTCGCCTGGTATACAGGAGGTCGTGGGTTTGATCCCGGCCCTGACGCCTGCTGCTGTATATTTGGAGTTTGCGTGTCTCTCTCTCCCCGTAGCAGCGTGGATTTTTCTCCGCGCGTCCTCCAGTTTTTCCCTCCCACATTCAGAATCGACGCCGCGTGTTTAAGAGTATTCGGCTGCTCCAAATTTCCACGCGACGATAAGCCCACCTCGTTGTGCTATCATTTGTGGTGGCCAGGTCGCCTCTGAAAAGAGCTGGTAAACTGGAGGGGGGGGGGGGCCTTAACCTGGCGAAATAAAAAGCATCGTTTCAACAGTTTTTAAATCGGCCGACTCATCAGACGGCCTCTCGCATCGCGCTGCCACCACCGCCGCCGTCGCCTCACCATCCGGCGCGGTCCTCCATCTGCAGGCTGTAGACGACCGAGTCGGCGGCCGCCGCCCTGGAGGAAGCACCGCCCTCCCCCCACTTGAGCTTGAGGCTCTGGGGGCCGTAGGCGGAGCACTCGAGGCGCGGCGGCTCGGGAGGCAGCGGCTTGGTCTTGGCTTTGACCGCTTGGCTGAAGGGGCCCGCCCCGACCGCGTTCACCGCCTGCACTCGTATCCTGCGCGCCAAGCAGCGGCGGGCAGAGGAGGAGCGAGGGGTGGGAGTTGGCGCGCGTCCGCCAAGAGCTCGCAGCCGGGCGACTAACGCTGGACTACCAGCGATGCCCCCGCATCACGGAGAAGAAAAATGCTAAGAAGGGCCCTTATTTAATCAGTGGCAATCACCTCCTATAGAGACATCTGTCAAAAGGCACAGCTGGAAAGGACAGCAATATATGTCGACCGTGGACAGGTATTAAAGACAGACTGGGTTCAAAGTCGGGTTCGCGTGCTTCTGGAAAACTGAACTTGCTTAGAAAAAGCAACTTACCAACGTATCTAAATGATAACGTTTTTTTTAATAAGCGTGTGTTTTTTCCTGCTATGATGCAGACATTGACGAAAACATTACAGAAGCCAAAAAAATCTGTAGTGTGCATGGTCCACGCTAAATTATATCCGCACAAAACCATGGCGGATGCGGATACCTAATGCGCAAATTAAACATTTATAGTGCGACTGTCTGTGGTCATCCAAAACAGACCATACAACGTATAACGACGGAACGCCCCGATCCACAAATACGAAGGACACATCACAGCAATACGCTCCCAACGCAGTTATCTGGCTCGACCACCTGAATGTGAAATTGTAGTTGCTCTGCAGCTGCATCAGGGGCCATACAAAAGAAGACGATTAAGCATGCCGGAGTGCTCCAAATTGGTGTCATCTTGGCGGACGGAAATTTTTACCGCAATTACCCACGGGGAGCTCCGGCTCGCCGGTGGTTAAGGCCCCAAAGCTTGCCGGGCTCCCACATACACTACGCTTTGCTAAACGCAAGCTCGCATCTGCGAACTTTGCCAACGCAAGCTCGTGTCTAAGAGCGGACGCCGAGGAGGGGGTCCCCCCCCCGCTGCTGCGTGTGCAGCGATTGTTTTGCTTGCCGCGCCGCGGTGAGTCCGGGTCGTTTTGCTTTTGCCGTTAAGGCATTGGCCATTGATAGCTTCTGGGGGGGGGGGGGGGGGAGCAACGATTGGAGTCAATTAAAACGAAGCGTTGTTGCTATGAGAAATACGGAGTGTGATAAGAAACTGTGAGCAGTGTTTATACTCTTTGGTTCTATTCGGTAAAGTCACGTAGGCAAAAAAAAATAAAACATGACTTTACCGAATAGAACCAAAGAGTATGGATCCTTGCAGTCATGAAAGCTTCAAATCTAGAATTGTGAGCAGTGTGTTTGTGTCGCATTAGGGAACTGTATACCGTGAACTCGTAACAGCATCAAAACAACCTCAAGATTTGAAATTAGTTTACAATTTAAAACAAACAATTATTTTGCATTTACATGTATGTATGCCATATTGCAAACTAAGATTATTTTGCGAGCTTTTTTTTTTTGTTACGCAAAAATCACAAACTTTCGTTAACGTTTACGTTAAAAAACCGCGCGCAGCGGCAGCTGAGAGCTGCGGTGGTGTCGTCGCCACCTGTAGGTGGTGTCAGGCGCGAGGTTGCGGATGACGTGCCGCCGGGCGGCCGCTCGCTCCGTCGCCGCTGGCTGCCTCTCGCCAAAGTCCACGTTGTAGGCCACGATGTCGGAGCCGTGGCAGCACGGCTCATCCCACGCCACGGCCAAGCACGATGACGGGCAGAAGGCGGCGGCCGCGGCGGCGTCGGCGTTGGGCTCGGTGAGGCCGGAGTCGCCGCCGTCCTGCAGGACGCGGACGCAGCTCACGGCCGCCGGCGCCGACGGGGGCGTGCAGGCCGTGGCGACGGCACTGAAGTGCCCGGCGCCGGCCGAATTCACCGCCTGCAGCCACCCGACGAGACGACGAGACGAGAGCACGGGAGCGCGCCGGGCGCAAGCGTATTTTGCATGCGACTGATATTACTGCGGGTCGCTGGTGACCTGATGAGCAGGTGGCACGTGACGAGCAGCAACGATGACGATAACAGGTTGACGATTTGCGTGTGCTATTTCACGAAACGGACGCAACGTTCGCGGAGACAAGAGTTCAAAGTCCTTTGCACGCAAGCCCGAGCGCACAGTTGGGATGCTGAACTGGCGGGGAAGCCTGCCTGGACAGCTGACAGCCTGAACGGAATGTCGAACATGACGAACCAACCCCGATCTCGACGGATTCTAAACGCCACCCCGACCCCCCGGGCGCCTCGCTACGTCTGCGCGGGATACACGCAGCGCCGTGCCCACCTGGACGCGGCAGAAGTAGAAGGTGGCCGGGGAGAGCCCCTTGAGCTCGTGGCTCTGCGAGCCACCGGCGTACGTGTGCTGCAGCGAGCCCTCCTCGCACCCCCAGTCCAGCCGGTACTCCGTGACGTCCGCTCCGTTGTTAAAGGGACTCTGGCGAGAGGACGGATTCATTCGCACAAACGCACGCCGGGTTGGCAGCGGATGCAGCGTGGCGCCGAGTCGGCCGATTGCTTTCGTCCACACTTCCTGCGTATCCATGTTCACGGCAGATTCGCCCACGACTCGGATATGAAAAGCGGGAGCACACTTGTGAAACCGCACACAATTTCTTGAGCAGGGTTTATAGGACATTCAGTTACAGGAAATCAGTTTCGCATACGCGATGACCTTACAACGTAATATTTGTCACATCTCAGCTATTTCTTTCTCGTTATTATTGCCTATTTCAATTGATTTGGCAGTGACCATGTGAACGATCAGATTGGCAAACTACGCAATCGTTCACGGTGGTATGCCGCTCCCAACCCCCTAGGTGAGCCCCTGGTGTTGACGCGAACCGTGCGGTCTGTATTCTTAGTCGCGGCTCGGCTCAGGCTCGAGGTGCTCAGTGACTCCCGCAGATGCCTCAAGTGAGCAACTCAGCCGTGGCGTGGCTCAGGATCGACACCGTGGAAATCCTGGACCATGGCAGGGACCACACTCAAGAGCCGGCTCAGGTTAAACGCGGCGGCGGCTTAGAGGCGGCTCACCTGGGCCAGGGCCAAGCATCGAGGCAAGCCAGGACTAATATATGGGCTTAAGAATCCCAAAGGTGCCTTATTATAGTCTGCCTCCGAGCCAGAGACATACACGCAGACCTATAAGCATCCTCAAGGTGTTTTATTCTGGCTCAATGAGCCCCAAAGGGTGTAAAAAATTAACCGTATTCTCGAAGTTGCCTTCATCTTGCTCGATGAGCCTTGGACATTCACAGTGAACCCTAAAATTATTTGAAATACATCTGGCTCAAAAGAGGCCGGCTCACATTTTTCTGACACAGTTGAACCTTTCTGTACGATTCAGAGAGGAGCGGGAGAAGGGGGGGGGTGGTTCAGAAGAGCCCACAACATTAAACACACAGAAAAAATCCGCGTTGTGAGCCATCGTTCTTTTGACAACTTAAAATCGCAACAACTTCTATAACACCGTGGAGGTGAGGAGCCATCGCAGGGAGCACGCGTACACGTGCGTACGCTTGAACCAATCAACACGGCTCTGGTAGACAAGACGATGAATTTGTCCCTCGGTCGTGAGTGGAAAAAGCTTGATGCAGGAAATTCTCAAAGAGCAGGCAAATACCCGGAAAACCGCACTCATGTTCCGCTACTTGACCATCTATTGTTACCTGTCATGAATGACAATCTAAACACAATATACAAGTGCAATTATTATATGAAAGTAACCCACGGCGCTCATACTGTGAAGCCGATTATGGTATTTCATTTATGAGAACACTTTATTAGCTGCAGCCTTGACCAGTAGAAATAAGATATTTAGTCGCAAAGGCTCTTCAAAAAAAAAGAACGCGCACAAAAACACATCCACGCGCAGACGTAATAAATTCGCTTTTCAGAGAATCCTCCCGCGCCAGCATGTTTCCAGGAAACGTTACCGACCGTACGAACTGTCCATAGCGAGAGTTACCGTAAAACGATAGCGGAGAGAGAATTACTCGCAACCCTCGAGGAACACGGGGATAAATTAGTGGGAATTTAATGAACCTGGAGATTGTTGCCAACAGCGGGGAAATCTATGGACGTACAGCGCGCGCTGTGTCAGCCCGTCATGCAACTGCACCTTCCCACACGGTGCGTGGAGGACACAAACCGCGCAACCAAAAACATGCTCCTCTTGCCGAGAACATTCGTAGAAAAAATAAAATAATAAATCGCCGACCTTTCCCAAATCAATGTTTTGATTCCGCCCAAAATGTCGAAAAAAATTACATCCAATAATCAAAAAAGGGAGAGAAAAAAAATTATGCCGGAAGGGTGACTCGCATTTTATTACTTGGTAGAATCTTCCGGAAGGTGGGTTTTCCCCATGATTTCATCGCCCCTCAAGCAAGGCCCTATGGCTTCGGCCAGGGTCATGTCGTCACCCAATAGGGTTACAGGACCATGGGGCCTGAATTTCATTCACGTGTGCGTGCAGTTGACGGCTCCGCTTCGCAGACTTTAAGTTATCAATGCGTTGCTCGTATGTGATGCGTTCTATGAGCCTTGCATTTTGTGTGCCGGTTGTACGCCATGTTGATGCATGACCTTGCCATTTGGATCTTGGTCACGTATAGTTGTTTTTGGATTGCCGAGAAGATTATTTGTTGCTGTAGCAACCAGGTTTCTATGGTGTAACCATGTCCCCCATCGAAAATTAGCATTTATTGCCCAATGGCTTGTGCGTATGTGTACGTTGAACTTCTTTTGCACCGTACATGTAGCCAACCCGTGCTAATCGGAGATGTGGCGGAAGGACAACAAACTATGGGTCTGTGTGCTAAATTGGAGGTGGGTTTTACACGTGCCAAAATAAACCCCAAGTTTAACACGTAGCCTTTCGCGACCCATCTTATTCACAATTAAAGGTTATTTTGTAAAAAATCGCAGAAATATAAATGTGTCGTTAGACCACCTCCACCCGACACCGCCAATTAGTAAGGTTCGTCACGCAAACAAAACGTGCCAATTAGTTACTAGTTCAGCACACTGGTTGTGTTTTGGAGAGTAAATCCCACAACATTTACAATTCCAGCACTGTGACGTTTCACCGGTGATTACCGAAACCACGTAAACGCCAGCTCCTCACGAAACGCGGTCGTGGGCAAGGGCGGTGGCGGCGGCTCCGCACCATCCCCGCGATGGCGCCGGGCCGGTTCGTTCGTGGGTGCTGACGAGCCCCCCCAACTCCCCCGGCACGGCCCTCGCCCCCCACCTCCTCCTCCGCAAAGACCGTGTCACATGGCGGGTGGCGAGGAAGCGAGTTTGGGGAAACTGCGCCGTGGCATATACGGGGGGGGGGCGCTTGTGCACCGCGCGCGGGTTGAGGCTCACCTCCCAGCTGACGCTCGCCGAAGTTGCGCTTCTGCAGGTGATGGTAGGCGGCTGACATTGCTCCGGCACGCCGGCTGCTGTGTTCATCTCTATGGGCTCCGAGTAGGGTCCGTACTAGATACCGGGCGACATGTGGGGCCCGCGGGACGGGGGACGAGTTAGCGTCATCGACCGAGACCATCGACAGCCCCACAAACAACCCGCCGGGATCGTTGCGATTGAGGGTCGCTTTTCGATTTACGGATCGTTCCTCTTCGCAGTCAATTTTCTCGTCGGCATCGTCTCAGGTTTTTTTCTTGAACAAAAAAAGTGTAAATTGAATATATATATAAATCACTAAAAATTTACATAAGTAATATCGATTCTCACATGCAACAAACCAAAACCCTTGCACCGTTCGGAGTCGTATGTATGTTGAACTTCTTTTGCACCGTACGTAGCCAACCCGTGCGAATCGGAGGTGTGTCACGCTCTATGAATGCCGTTCGTTAAACATTCAACTCTGGGGGGGGGGGGGGGGGGGGGTGGAGGTCCTCACCCCGGCCTTGTTGGCTGCTCGTACTCGCAGCGTGTACGAGCGTCCGGGCAGCAGGCTCTGGACCGTGCACTCTAGCTCAGGGCCCACAAAGGCCTCCCGCGGCTCCACTTGGGGCCCGCCGAGCTCCACGGTGTACTCCGCCACAGGGCAGCCTCCGTCCATCGCTGGCGGGCCTTCACGAAAACAGCAACACAACAACACCTCTCATTTAGCCGTACAGATCACCGGGCAAATGCGATGCACGGCTGAAGCTCCGCTTTCCGCCACTTTGCACCATCCGGAATGCCCTATTATTAACCGGCATCAGACGGCCATACGAATCTTCCTTCACGTATCTGGATATGTTGTCGACAGCCGTCAGGGCATTCTTGACCGTGCGCTTATCATAGATCCGTTGTTGTTTACGGAAGCGTCAGGACGCTGCCGAGTGGTGGCGCTAGCGGAAGCGTGTGCGTACAGTGCTGCACTACTGTATACTGTACTACAGTATACTGTACTCTAAACGGCCCCACTGTTGCTCTAAAATCAACTAAGAATGCCCCACTACTGACTTGGTGAGTACCTCTGTAAGAAGAGTATAATTATTTTCATCTTCTTTCGGTAAAGTCACGTAGAATGAGAATAAAATAATAAAATAAGACAACAAAATTCTCACGACGTTTTGGCCACAACACAAGTAGCCTTCTTCAGGTGAAAGAACAGAACTGTCGGGACGACAGAGCTTGAATGAACGCTGTTCAGATTCGTAGCGTCTTTTAAGCTCGGTGAGAGTGAAAAATGTAGGCTTAGTTTATTTCTCAAAACGTTTTATGTACTTGGATTATCTTGTGCACCATAAGTATAACTCTCAGACAACCGGAATTATTTTATTAACCGGTTAATTTGATTAATCTGCAGCACTGTCAATGATAGTCTATTGGATCCCACTCACCCCAAGCCGGTTGTGACTCACATGTGCGGCTATAGCGCCCTCTAGGGGTATGTGCGCGTATGTTGAACTTCAATTTGCACCGCACGTAGCCAACCGTGCTAATCGGAGGTGCTAGGGATCGGCAGACGGGGAGGTCCAATATAATTTATCACTGACAATGCTTCAGCCACGAGTCCGTAACTCGCTCATGAATAATTGCCGACAAAGAACCCCCCCCCCCCCCGTAACCCTCCACCACCCGACACGGCCAATCAGCAAAAAAGTGTCACGTTGACAAAAGACAAATAGTTTCACTACTTTAGCCCACCGGTGTGTTGAAGAGTGAATCCACAACATTTACAGTTTGAGTACGACGTTTCGCTGGTAATTACATCCAGCATCATCGGGCAATTCGCCAGAATGGTAAAGCCGGTCTTAAATAGAGCAGCAGGGTGACGTCATCATTTAACTCATTTCAGGTGCAGTGATTTGAGGCGGAGGGGGGGGTATTGTAATTATATAATCGATTAGTAATCAGTCAATGGTTATGATTAGTAATGAGTTGTAGAGATCCCCCCCCCCCCCCGAATAGCTTTTAGACGGAACTGTAGGGGCAAGTGCTGCTAGCGAGGAGGCACCGCTTGCTCCGTGCGCGTTACACGACGTGTGCTTGAACGCAGGAGTGGAGTCTTCTTTGGTTCTTTCGGCAAAGTCACCACGTAGAATGAGAATAAAATAATAAATTGATAAAATAAAATAACACAATAATATTCTCACGACGTTTCGGCCACAACACAAGCCGGCCTTCATCAGGTGAAGGGACTGGACTGTCTGGAGGACTCCAGGGACGAGACTGTCTGGAGGACTCCAGCGCTGTCCCTCCAGACAGTCTCGTCCCTTCACCTGATAAAGGCCGCTTGTGTTGTGGCCGAAACGTCGTGAGAATATTATTGCGTTATTTGATTTTATCAATTTATTATTTTATTCTCATTCTACGTGACTTTACCGAAAGAACCGAAGAAGATGAATCCTTGCAGTCACGAAAGCTTTAAATCGCAGGAGTGGAGGTCGCCGGCGCCGCGTCGCTTCGAGTGCACTTTTGGAAGGGTTGGGGCTCAGCGGTAACACTTGCACCTCGCGGCAATAAGTGCCCCGGGTTCGACGCCCAACCCCTGTTGCCTTTATGTGCGTGGAGGTTGTAAGTTCTCCCACACCCCCTGGTTCTTTCTCCAGGTTCCCCCGGGTTTTCTTCCTATAGAATACGACCCAAAAATTAACCCGCACAGCAACCGTCAACGATGGAACGTAAATGGAGTTCTCGCGGAAACGGAGCCCGGAGTCGCGGTGTCGCACACTCACTCCATCGGATGTGAAGCTCTCGAGCTTTGGGTTTCCCCAAGACCCGAGGAGGGTTGCAGGGACCCGGGGCAATCGGCGGCAGCTGAATGGCGCACACTTCTGAGAACTGCAAAGACAGAGATCACATCCCACCCTGTGTAGCCTCAACAGACTTTTGGCGCAGGTGCTGTTAAGCGAGTAGCACCGATGAAGGCCGGAACGGCACATGAGGGGGTGGTCAGCGCCACACCCCCCCCCCCGCCGCCTTTGTCTCCCTAGTGGCGATGTTTACACACCGCACCGGGTACTCATTTAAGGCCGAGCCAACCTATGGGAGGTTTAGGACCAGTTCAGATATTCGTCACCAATGTTGGTCGTGAGCAGCATTCAAATTCGGGTCACTGGGTTCGTAGCGAGGTGCATTAACCACTGCGCTGCCGCTCTCCGACACACTATACACACAAACGGACACACGTACACACAGACACCCACGCACAACCATGAATACAGGCGCAAGGACACAGCCGCTGAGGAAATAACGAAGGAAATTGTGTATCTCAGCAAACCTTGCAGGCTGTGGCAGCTGAATTCTAGCCTCGCCTACCAGAAACTCTTATTTTAATTATATCAAATTTTCAGCTGGGGCATCATTTTTGCAAGAGTGGCGCGCACTAAGCAACCACGTAACAACATGCACGCAAAGTTTAAAATCTACAACGTATGCAGTCTACGATTATGCCATGTCAAATACATTCACGCGGCGTCGAGGACAGGAACAGGACGGCCAATGCAGTGCACATGAAGCTTCACACCGCAGTCACACACACACAGGATGTAGGTGGTGCACATCGCAGTCACACACACACAGGGTGTAGGTGGTGCACACCACAGTCACACACACAGGGTGTAGGTGGTGCACACCACAGTCACACACACACAGGGTGTAGGTGGTGCACACCAGTCACACACACACAGGGTGTAGGTGGTGAACACCGCAGTCACACACACACACAGGGTGTAGGTGGTGCACACCACAGTCACACACACACAGGGTGTAGGTGGTACACACCAGTCACACACACACAGGGTGTAGGTGGTGCACACCACAGTCACACACACACAGGGTGTAGGTGGTGCACACCACAGTCACACACACACAGGGTGTAGGTGGTGCACACCACAGTCACACACACAGGGTGTAGGTGGTGCACACCATAGTCACACACACACAGGGTGTAGGTGGTGCACACCAGTCACACACACACACAGGGTGTAGGTGTACACCACAGTCACACACACAGGGTGTAGGTGGTGAACACCGCAGTCACACACACACACACAGGGTGTAGGTGGTGCACACCATAGTCACACACACAGGGTGTAGGTGGTGAACACCAGTCACACACACACAGGGTGTAGGTGGTGCACACCAGTCACACACACACACAGGGTGTAGGTGGTGCACACCGCAGTCACACACACACAGGGTGTAGGTGGTGCACACCATAGTCACACACACAGGGTGTAGGTGGTGCACACTAGTCACACATACAGGGTGTAGGTGGTGCACACCACAGTCACACACACAGGGTGTAGGTGGTGCACACCACAGTCACACAGACACAGGGTGTAGGTGGTGAACACCGCCGTCACACAGACACAGGGTGTAGGTGGTGAACACCGCCGTCACACACACACACAGGGTGTAGGTGGTGCACACCGCAGCCTGTCAATCGACGCGATGTTTAATGCGAGGATGGCACAGAACCAGACTCGATGCGATAGGCACTGGAGATTGATAAATGTTTCAGTACGGACTTAAAAGCGCCAATTGTTGTTTTAAGTCTGAACATTTGTCATCACGCACTCTCGTGGAACCCAGTCCGAACGCGTACTGCGCTGATCTCACACACGCAGCGAGCCCGTTGGAATAACAACGCCGCCGTGTTAAGTCCGATTTGCAAAACCGGCTCGGGCTAAAAGATGGGTCGCGGACATTCGCCAGTCGCTGGGGCTTCAGATCTTGGGGCCGCAAAAAAACAAAACAAAAATCACAATATTTGGTGACACCCGATAACACCGCCGTAACGTCACTTGACATCTCAGCAGCGGTGGCAGGCTTTGAGAAACACTTGGAGCCATCGTTTCACGTCGCTAACAATAATAATTCACACTCATAAAGCGCGTTTCACCCCGAGGTCACAAGGCGCTGCACAAAGCTAAAAGCGGGTAAGTAAATAACTAAAACGAAATTCTAAAACCGAACATAAGCAGTCAGGCTCATGATTTAACCACAGATACAAATACCCCCACCCCCCCACACACACACACTCCCAAAACACAACACAATTAACAAGGAGAAAAGGCCTTAAAGAAAAAAACTGTCGTAAGGCGGAGATGTAAATAAACCGAGGGACTCGGCATATCGAATATTGGACGGGGAGTGAATTCCACAGCTTGGGGGCCAAACGGGTAAAGCCCCCCCCCCCCCCCGCCCGCCCCCCCGGGTCAACCATTGAACGGAGATGAACGGAGATGAACGGAGATGAACGGAGATGCGACCTCGACACACGCAACAGTAGCCCCCACACTCGGTCGAACCGAAGAACTCGCGTTGGGACATACGGGTGGAGGAGGTCACGGACGTAAGGGGGGGGGGGGGGGAATGTCAACGATTCCCCTCCCCACACCGGAGGTACGGGTTTGTAGAAATGTGAAGTTTATTTTTATCGCTGACCCTATTAAAAGCGCGGCGGCTTCTGGTTTATGTGAGGCGACCTACGGTAAAAATAACAGTTTTGAAGGTTTTCTTCCAAACGTTTCTCTCCAAGGTTTTGCAAGCGGCAGCATGTGCAGTTGAAAAGCAAAATGTCCGAGCGTCGCCTTTTCCGTCTGGGAATGCACGCTCTCTAAAAGGTCCACGAAAATAAAGTTGCTGTTCGCAATGATAACCATGTTCGCATTTGCGCATACACGCACACACAAGGCATGCGCACACGTACAAACGCAAATGCACGTGCACACAAAGGCCAAAGATTGGCACAATAGCCGTGCAGACTGTCGGGGCAAGTGCTGTTTTTGCAAGAGCCTATTAAGGTTGGCACAGCACACGACGGAGTGGTGTGACCAGCACCAAGCCAAGGGCCAACAAGAGCACAGCTATACCCAAAGACGCCCCCTTAAAGCCTGTAACACACTGTTGGGGCAAGTGGTGTTAGCGAACAACTACACAACACACACGAAGGCACAGAGTCAGGAGGACAGGCCTGATTGCCAAGAGGTGAGCGCTGTCTCAGCGTTGGGCACACTGCGGAGAGGAGAGCGAGTTGCCTGGAGACTATCCGTTGTTCTTGTTTGCAGTTTGCAGCCTCAATGCGAGCGCACGAATAAACTCCACCAGACAAGACAGCGCCAGGCGACGCTTCAAGACACTCTGCAGCGAGATCGTTCGCAACTCAGGGGTCCGCTACCCCGGCCCCGTCCCTGGGGTCGCGTCCGGCTGGTAGGACAGCAGCAACAGCAGCGGCGGCTGCACCCGGGGAAACACACAGGCGCAGCTGTAGCCGTGCCGTCCACGGCGCAAATTCACCTGGCTTGTGCCTCCATCGCTCGTGCAGGACACGCGGAGGCGGTAGGACGCGCCGGGCCTCATGTGGTCGCACGAGTGCTCGCGCTGCGGTCCGCTGTACACCTCCTCCCACGCTGCAGAGGCGGCAGCGCACACGCACACACGCCGCAATCGTCAGCCGCCGCTTGACGAGAATGACGATTTTTTTTAAACCCGTAACGCACCCGCCCGCAGTATTCGCTCGTCCCTCGAAGAGAGAGAGAGAGAGTGAAGACGACTCAAGGAGGCGCAAAGGAGGAACCACGAACGAGCGAGAAGGGCAGCAGCAGCCGCGAGGCGGTGAGCCAGCGCCAGATTCCCCGCCGGCCATCCCCAAAGCTCTGCGGTCCTCTTCATATGAAGGTGGTATCGGGCAGTGAATGAGCGTATACGTGTGGGAGGAGACAGACAAGTGAGGTACTCACGCATCTTGTCCCCTTCCACCAGCTCCAGCGTGTAATTGGTGATTTCGACGCCGCCGTTGTCTTTTGGCGGCTCTGGAACGGTCGACAGTTCAGAGGATAAATCGGCGGCATTGGTGCAGCACAAAGTTGAACTCTACAACCGGCTTTGAAGGCACGCAGTGTCTCGTGAGCAGGGTCAGGCCCGTTCGAACCGGCACACAGCGAACGTTAATCGACGCTCATGAGGAGAGAATTTGTGGTGTGGTCGTTGCGGTCATGTGACAATTTATATTTTTTTGAGCGGTGCGAGGAAGTATGCAAAATACGTTCACTGCAAGGCGCCTCTCGGAAGAGGTTGATCAACGAACGGCACGACAAAATAAAAATAATTGACATTTACTCGCACTGCCCGGGATGCATGTCTGGAGTGGAACATGGGGGGAGGCGGGCGGGGGAGGCGGGCGGGGGAGGGGGGGTGATGTCAGCACAACGCTGCGGGACGTGGGTGATGTCATCACGTCAATGTGCAATGCGTGGTTTACACTCCACTGGTTGGGGGGGGGGGGGAGCTACTGACAGAAGGACACTTTGGATATAAGCATCGAACAGTTTTGGCTGGCCATCGAACAAAGATGCATTTCTGCGGCCGTCTGGAACGCTCTTCCTTCCGATATTAGGAAGCCACTGGAGCTGTGCACTTTTTATTAAATCATCACCTAGATTGAAAACGCATTTCTTTAGAACTTGGTGTTTAGTTTGTTGTCTTTCCCTCGCACCTCCGATTGGCTCGGTTGGCAACGTACGGTGGAAAAGAAGTTCGACATACATACCTCCTAGGCCTTACTCAACAAGTGTGCTTGTATTAGAGAAAAGCTCCTTCTATATTACATAAACTGGGATCCACGTCGAAATATAAAAAAATATTAATGGAAACGAGAATTAGAATACTGCACTGTTACATGTGTGGGTCTGTACTCCTGTATGGATGTGAGAGCCAGAAAATTACAAAGACCCCCAACACATTAAACCAGACAGCAACAGAAATGTGGTTTGTAAGAAGGACGATGCTAAACATTTTACTGACAAACACAAGACGAGTGACGTAAATGTATACTTCGGATAGCGGCAGGTTACACACAAAAAAACTGATGAGATTAATGAATGAAAGGAACAGTTTAAGATGTGTTGGACGTGCCAACAAGAAAACAAGAGCTTGCACGCAAATTTTGTTTCAACTTGGAAACATTCCAGGTACCTCAAGAAGCCGGGGGAACACGGCGAATCGAAGCTACATTTGCAAATTCGAAAGAACTTGGATGCAACCCTAAGGGATTATCGAAAAGGAACCGGAATGGAGTTTCAAAAGCAAAGTTCTTGAGTAAATATCGTGGAAAGAGGCACGGGACACTATCGCCGACGTCTTTGAGACAGCAAACGGCACATCGAGGGAGAGAGACATTCCCAAGTGGATTGTGTGCCACGCTATCCGACCGACCGACGGTGGGGGGGTGTGCGTACGTACCCCATAGGACCTTGAAGGAGTGAGGAAGTAGCTTCCCCTTGACAACCGGCTTGCTCGGAGCTCCGGGTTTGTCTGGTTGAGTTACAAACGTCGCAACTTCACTCGGACCGCTCCTCCCTTCCACGTTGGATACGAAGAGCTGGGAGGAAATAAATAAAAAAAATATAAACGCATTTTCACAAGAACACACACACGCGCACGCAGGAAGTCTTTTGTCTGGCCATCGAACAAAGGCGGTCACCGCATCGCGCGCTTTCAGATGCGCTTCTGCGACCATCTGGAACGCTCTTCCTTCCAATATTAGGAAGTCACTGGAGCTGTGCACTTTTAAATCCACTCGTTTCTTGAGAACTGCTTGTGTTTAAGTTTGTTGTCCTTCCCGCGCACCTCTGATTAGCACGGTTGGCTGTGTACGGTACGAAAGAAGTTCAACATACATACACACGTTCCCTTAGCAATTCGATGAGGAGGAGGGACGGCTCAAAACGGCTGTCGTAGCAAGCAGACGCTACTAAAGCTGCCGAGATCGGTGGGTTTGCATCTCAGCGACCGCCAGTGATCGATCCAGAGTCTCACATCACGCAAGTCGATGGTCTAAATTTCTGTTTGAATGCCTGAAACATCAAGTAGATTTACCACACATGAATTCCCCGCTTACTTTGGCCCACTCCAACTTGGAAGGGCTATTTGTGCGATGACAACTCCTCAGCTAAATGGGTGCAGCGGTGGCGCAGTAGCGACGGCATCGCGCTAAGAACCTGCGTGCTCTACGAGTTTCATTCCCGGCCGTAGCTACCACCACACGAGCGGTGAACCCATCCCAGGGCACCCACCCACCCCACTTCACCAACCTGCACTGACCAGCGTGGTGAAGCATAGCCAAACAACCCCACCCAGTGACCAACTTGGTTGTTATTGTTCGACTTGCATCCCACTGGGATTTTTGCACACAGCGTTGAAATGCGGTGTTTTTTTCTGGAAGACTTTGCTGTTTTTTCCTGGATTTTTCTGTTGCGTGTAGTCACTTAAAGATTTTTCTTGTTCATGATTTTTTGTTTGTTGCGGTTGCACCCGAGTCAAGAGCCGCATGGCTCACAGGGTTATGTCTAATAAATGAAATGAAAACTGAAACTTGGCTCCGGGGGAGTGCATCCGGCTAATGGATTGACAAGACGCCAAAACACAAAAAACATCAACAACAAACCAATGCGGCAACTTACCCGGAACTTATACTCGGAGCTTCTCCTCAGGTTCCTGATGGTGTATATCAATTCCTCTCCGTTGTACTTGGGCCGAAATCCGTAGCCCTGCGGGGAACGCGCGCACGTGAAACACAAACAAACCCACACCGAGTCTTGCGGGCACGTCTGATGCTGACACATCAGCGCAGGCTGGCGCTGCGAGTGATATTTACCATCGAGTAATTCCAGCCGAGTAACACGGAGGGTACGTTTTCTGCTTCGGGATGTTTGGCCAACAGCAAATCGCGTTGGCGTGGGTCGAATTGAACTACGTGATCATTTATTGTCAATCGAATGTTGGCTTTAAGACCTCACCCGTAAACGTGCCGTGCCGGTCACGAGCGCCCCTCTGACCACGTTTACTCCACGCTGGACGCGACGCAAACATTCATCATCATGTACGGTCACGAATTTTGCTTTCACCGAATTCACGCATCGTCGGAGATTCGCCCCCCCCCATTGCTTCCTCTCGTCGATTTCATTCACCTCATCTCCACCATCAAAGTCAGACACACGTTGTTGTACCGTTGTTAATTCTCTGTAAAGTGCCTTGGCGAAGGCGCTACATAAACTCCGTTAAGATAACAAGAGGATTCCAGCACAGGACTTTAATGCCACTCGCCACTAATGTCGGTAGCCGCGGCCGAATATCTTAGCTGGAGTCGCCATGTTTGTAATCGCGACGGTGCACTAATCGCTGCACCGTTGCGCAATCCAACTTGGCACAAAGAGATGTTTGTATTCCTCACGGGTTCAAACTTTTTAATCGACAATTTGCCGATATTTTTAATACATGCGGATCATCTGTACGATGCGTTGCACAGCGGTGCCACTTGTGCCTCACAGCAACAAGGGCCTGGGTGTCCCCTTCCCGACTCAGGCGCTAGTCTGTGCCGAGTTTGGATATTCTCCGCTTATTCTGAATGGGTTTCCTCTGGGTTCTCCACTTTCCTCCCATAGTTAAATTCAACCCACACAACATGTTACCGGTACAGGCCAAACAACACAAAAGCTGAAAACTGTCTATCGCCCAATTGGAATTACGCAATGGAAAAAAAAGGTACAGGGTAGTGTAACCCAAGTGGAGAGGAGGCCCGGGAGGGGGTGGGTGAAGGGGGCAGCGGGGGGCGCGCCAACCGTGCTCGGGTCGTCCATCTCCAGCAGGTACTGCAGGCTCTCCTCGGCGGGCAGGCCGGAGGGGCGGCTCCACGTGATGGCGAGCCAGGTGACGGCAGCGCGGTGCAGGCACGGGGCAGACGGCGGTGGCGGGATGCTGCCCGACGTGATGAAGCACGCCTCGTCGCTGAAGTCACTGCGCGGCCAGGGGAGAAAGAAAGAAGAATTTTTTTTTTTTCACGATCGTTGCGTGCGCGAGTTTTCCTCTTCGATCCCCCTCCCCCCCCCTTCTCTCCCTTTCGAGGGGTGGCGACGCGGCCCCCGCGGTAAGCGCGCGTTCCCCGCTTGGTGCAGAGGGTCACGGCGGTTCGAATCCAGCGGCCGCCCTGGTTATTACGGCGGTGTGTAACAACTGTATTGATACCACGCGCCGACTGCCTCGCGGCGATTGTTCAAAATCCCCCAACGTCATTCGTAACAGTAGGCTATTGTGCCGGTGTCAGGGTACGAAGTGAGCAAAAAATTTTAATCGCCAGCAAAACTACTCAGTTTTAGATTGTGCATATAGCAATCGTCGAAAAACTCACTGGCAGACGACTGCCGCAAGTCACTCTTGCGACCGAGACTCATCCTGGTCCCTTTAGTTCTCACGTGCATCAGATCACCGAGGAGGGAGCATACTATTGTTTGGCCGGATTTGTACTCATGATGTCGGTTAGTTTCCATACATACAGCCGAGTGAGCCAAGCCATGTCCCTGGCTTGCCAGAAGGGAGTACAGGAATAATGTGGACCCCCCCCAACCCGTTCCATCTGTACGGGATAGAGCGCTTCCCCCTCACACGTGTCCGTGAGTTTCATCCAGGACACGCCGGTTTCCTCCTGTGCGTAAAACGCATCTTAACATATGGAGGACCGCAGAGCTTGGGCAATCGTTGGCGCCGGCTCATCGCGTGGCTTGTCCGTGGTTCTCTGCGCCTCCGAGTCGCCCTCGCTCCAACGGCGACGAGCGAATACCGTGCGGCGGGAGGCGGTGCAAGCCGCTGCCGAAATTATCATCGCCGACGCCGAAATCATTCTCACGCCGACGACCGGCACTCGACGGTTATCGCCGACCTGGTCCCCACGTCGTTCTTGGCCGCCAGGCGGAAGCGGTAGGCCACGGACGGCGACAGCTTGCTGGCCCGGTACTGCCGCTGGTGGCCGTTGTAACAGTTCTTGAAAGCGCCGCCCTTGATTCCCTTTGCACGTGGGGAGAACAATGGGCGAAGGAAAAGTGAACGTGTCACGCAACACGTGGGGCGGCACGGGGACGCAAGAAGCCAGGGCGCCGAGCTGACGGCGCCGACAGATCCTGGGTTTCGAATTCAGGCAGCCGCCTCCGCGGTCAAACTGGGTGCTCGAGTGTAGTCGTCCTGCACTAAGTTTGACAAAATCCCAGTTAAATTTTGATTTAAAGCTTTCGTGACTGCAGTAATTCATATTCTTAGTTTTTTCGGTAAAGTCACGTTGAAGAGAAACAACAAAATAACAAAATATATATAAAACAATAAAAAAATTCTCACGACGTTTCGACCATAACTCAAACGGTCATCATCAGGTGTGTCGGTTTGAGTTATGGTCGAAACGTCGTGAGAATTTTTTTATTGTTTTATATATATTTTGTTATTTTGTTGTTTCTCTTCAACGTGACTTTACCGAAAAAACTAAGAATAAAAATCCCAGTTATGAAAAATTATACCAGTATTGTTTTGACTGCCAGGTGACTGCAGCATGGTGTGTGTGTGGACCAGTGGCTGTTTGAAGTTGGTCTGTGATATCTCTCCTCCGCAGGGCAGTTCCAAGGGCACTCTGTGTATGTATGATTAACTTCTTTCGCAACATACGTAGCCAACCATGCTAATCGAAGGATACAGGGAAAGGACAACATACCAAACACAAAAAGCAGGCCTAAAGAAATTAGCTTTCGATCTAGATTATTTAAAAGTGCATAGCTCCAATGGCTTATTAATATCAGAAGAACGTTCCAGACAGCCAAAGAAGCGCATCTGAAAGGGTGTGTAGTGACGCGACTCCGATCGTGCAGTAGCAATAATATCGGGAGATGGGGAAACAAACCTCTAAATCGATAACCGTTTACTTTTGTCACTTATCAGTGGCTCATCGGAAGAGCAAGCAGAGGTTGAGTCAGCCCATCATCCCGAGGGTCGATAAAACGAGTACCACTTTTGTGGCGGAGTCAACGGAGTGGTGTTCACATGGATATACTCGTCCCTGCCATAGGAACGTGGTGGTCGTTTGAGTAGGAAATCGCTGAGAGACGAGCGAGCGGTAGCCGTTCGGCGTGTATGTAATGTGCGTATGTTGAACTTCTTTCGCGCCGTACGTAGCCCAGCCGCACCATTCGGAGGTGCGGTCAACATACCTCATCCCACTCCAAGACGTAGCCCGTCACTTTCGAGCCGTTGTCCGCAGGAGGCTGCGTTATGACAGAGAGAGAGAAACAAAGGTGAGAGACGAGCCGCAGTCGGCTCTGACGACGGCGGTTCGACGCGTCGGCGAGCGTGACGACGACCACGGCGGTGGGGTGGGGTGGGGGGGGATCAGAGGGCTGCCCTGGTGCAACCGAGCGAGCGGGCGAGAGATACCTTCCACTGCATCACGAGCGTAGACTTGGTTCTGCTCGTGAGCTTCGGGGGACTGGGGGTCTCGGGAGCGGCGGGGGACGTCGTGAAGGTGGCGTGCTCCGAGTTCGAGCCTTTGACACCGTCGCACAGAGCGCACACCCTGGCAAAGGTGGGGAGGGGGGCAGTGGGGGAGGGGAGGGGATGATGAGTAGGGGGCGGAGGGGAGGCGGCCACAGCAGCAGACGCTGACGATGATGAAAGATCGGCCACCATTTCGCCTATTTCCGTACGCGAGGCCGTGTTAAAACACCGCAGCACACTTGAAGCGTCGCTCGCCACATCCAATCAGCGCTCAGAATATTGAACACCCCTCCATTTCAAGGGACCACAATGAATCCGTTTGTGAGTGCCACAAAAATATCAACTGAGTTAGTTAATGTTTCTGGAAGGCGAGTAATACGCAATGCGGGAAATAAAAAATATATAATAGCGAATGTTAGTTAGTAATGAGTCACGGTGAGTGCTGGTAAATGCTGGCGGGTGTTGGCGAGTCCTGGCGAAGTATGGGCGAGTGGCAGTAACCGCGGTTCGACGTGCAGTATCATCATCGACAAACCTGATGTGGTATTCCGTCGCAGGCCTCAGGTCTGTTAACTTGAATTCCGGCTCTTCACCCCTGTCGTGGGACAGAAGGCAACTTCATTAGCCAGGCAGCGTCAGCGGCGGCGACGATGGCGCCGCATGCGATGAACTCGGGCCGTAAAGGGGCCACCCCCCCCGCCCCCAGCCCCCGGCTCGGCAGGCTACGTACGACGGTCTCCGTTCATAAAAACAAAAACGAACGACCACATAATTTTGGCTCGTAATCCACGATGTACAACATAAGAGCCGAGCTTTTCTCTATCCGGCCACAGGTGGCTCGGGTGGTAGAGTGAGCGGTGTGCGCGTCAACCATAAAACTCAACTGCACAATTTTTTTTATTTTAACAGACAAAGCCAACGTTAGCTATGTAGCTATTTTGTAGAAGGAACCTGTCCACAAATGATTGCTCAATGAAGTGGCTTATCACGTGGAAATGTATTGCAGCCTAATACTCTAAAAACGCATGATTCTAAATGTGGAGGGAGAAACCGGAGGACCCGAACGGAAATCCACGCGACCACGGGGAGAGAGACACGCAAACTCCAAATATACAGGTGTCAGGGTCTGGATCGAACCCACAACCTCCTGTATACCAGGCGAGGTAGTTAACGTCTCGCCACCGTGGCGCCCATGTGTGTGTGTGTGTGCATCCTTCTGTGTGTTCGCACGAGTGCATTTCTTTGCACAGTCGGATCTGTCTGTTAATCGTGATATTTCTGGGAAAGTCTCACAACAACGTTAAGACGTGTTTGGGGGGGGGGGGGTATTCTAATTTCAGAAAGTTCTTCAAACAAAAGCAATCCCCGAACCAAATAAATCGCAGGGTATCACAAACATCGTTTTAAATTCATGCCGAGTGTCCCATTGCAGCGCATTTACGAACAAAAAAAGAATCAGAGGCTCCCTTAACATGGTGTTTTTTTTTTGCTGGCTTGCTTACGTGCAAGGCCAGCTTCTCCCGTACAGGCTGTGCAAAGAGGGGTAAACGCAGGCCACTCGATAGACTAATGTGCGCGGGCTTCGTAAGTGCTCGCTGCCGCGCGGGGTCAACAACTCAAACGTTTTTTACTCAACATTATTATTATCCGAAAGCCGTGCCGCGTACGAGATGCGGCACTTTGTGTCCCCGAGCTTGCCGAGTGATTTGCTAGCTGGAGGGCGGGGAGGGAGGGCGGGGGAAGGGCAGATTGTTCTGTTGTTCAGCTTCGCGGAGTGATGCTCGAGCTAGATTTAAAAAAAAACATTTTAACCGGAGCTGGGGACGCTTCGTAGATAAGACCGACGATTCGAGTGGAACGTTGCACGATTAACTATGTTGTGGCCGATTAACCAAGAACCCTGGCCGATTAATCGAGAACCCTACAAGGCCCACGTCCCCAAGCGTCATTGAGCACCCGACCACGACTTCCCATCCAGCGACACACACGTGGGAACTAGAGGTGGGTACCTGGTTTCCACCCTTTATACGCTTCAGATGGCCTTCCGTGACCGTGCACCCAGGGTATGAAGCAGGCAACAGCCGCATCCAGGAAGTGTTTTGACATTAGGTTAGTTTGATTCTCTTGCAGTGTGTGCTTTGCTGATTAACTATATAAATTAACAAGGGGGAATCCAATCTTGTTTAAGGTTTGTTAACTTTCATTCTGCTGAATTAAATCTCTCAGCATGGTTCCTATTCCCATTCACCCAGAACTTTGTTTACTTATTTTAATGTAGACCGCAGACATGCACTTAATTACTTCCTCCTTTTAATTCACGCGCACACCTGCTCATCGGTCCAATTTCTAATATCTCCTGCTGATTAACCCATACTCTACTAGTACTATTTTTACAATTAATATTTTACTCACCGAGCTATTTAGCTCTTTTTCAAAAGCGAATGTGGAGGGGAAAACCCAGAGTAGCTGGAGGAAAATCCACGTGACCACAGTGAGAATACGCAAACTCCAAATATACAGGCATCAGGGGTCAGGATCGAACCCACGACCTCCTGCATACCAGGCGAGGTAATTAACCTCTCTAGCCATTGTGGCGGCATCAGCCGGTTGCTAACGCAACCGACGACCGCGTTTAATTTTTTGATCACATTCGCTCAGCCTGAGCATCTGGATTTGGCGGAGGTGGCGACGCCGGTTTTTCAAGCGACTCGAAATCGCGAGTGACACCGATTCCGTCAATGACGACAATCACTTTCGCGGCGATCGTGGTGCAGAACGCAAGGGTGCGTCACCACGCCGGGTGCGGCGGTGTGGCTTTGCCGCACGTGGCCTGTAACCCAGCACCGCGGAGGCACTGAGGGTTGGTGCATCACACCCATACACGCATTCGTGAAACTTCCTCATTAACCGTGGATGCCCGGCGTCACCATCTCCTGTCTTGCCAGGAATGTAACAACAGTGCAAGTGGGATCATTTCCATTTGTATTCCATCTGTACGGAGATTGATCGTCACCGCACCGCTCCCCACCCCCTCCACCTCTCACATGTGGGATTACTCCGGGTTCTCTGGTTTCCTCCCACACGTATAAAAGACCCATTAATGGCGGTGGCCAAACTACCAACTATAGGGTGACAGAACGTGGGCAACTCTTGATGCCAGTTCTGGCTGCCTTCCCTGCTTTTCTATGGTTTCCAGCGACTCAGAATCGTTCGCTAGTCTCTCAGAGTTGATGAAAATGCAACGTTACCACGTTTGCCAAAGGCGATAATGATATTGATGACGATGACGATGAAAGCGGCACACGTCCCCGCCGTACCTGTACACCGTCCTGTACTTGGCTTCCTTGGCCTTGGTAGACAGCGAAAGCTCGTACAGACACGAGGGCTGGCCCTGGCTCTCGCTGGAATCGTCTTCCGGATGCAACCCGGGCAGCGGCTGCCAACTCACTTGGACCTCGCGAGCCAGCACCTCCACAACCTGACACAAAGACAAACAAATCCCCCCCCCCACCATGTGGCCTTTAACCGACTGTTGTGGGGCACACGGATGGCACGGCATACAAGGTCGTGGGGTGGCCAAGCGCCGCGTCCGCCCGTCTTTGTCTTCCCAATGCTGAAGTTTACACTTCGCGCACTCGGCAATTATTTTAAGGCCGAGATGACCAGGACCGGTTCAGAAATGTGTAGTGTGGTGTTTGGCCAGCGTGGCCACATGCAAGCGCGAGCGGAAGTGCGGGGAAGTTCGCAACATTACCTGTGGTTTCTCGATCTCAGAGAGGACCTCTTGCAACCTCTTGTTCTCCATGGTGAAGTCTCCTGAAGGGTGCGGTGGGTTACAACAATGGACACGACGATTAAGCCGAGGCCAATAGGCCCACGACCACCACGCCGCCCGGAATGCGCCCCATCGCGCCAGTCCTTGTCATGGCTCGTGAACAATTAAAAGGCACAGTGCATGAATCTATGTGTATAAATACATATTCTGAGAATCAGAATATGTATTGATACTGGAAGAATCCAATGAGATATAAAGCTATTATTTTCAGATGTCCACGTGGTGAGCCATTTCGTTGAGCTGTTATTTGTGGCCAGGTCACTTCTGAAAAAGAAGCCCATAGTTCAGGCGACTTTACCTGGTAAATTAAAACTAGTTTTTTTTAAAGCGATTTGCTTACCTTTACTGTACTTTGCACTCCAATCATATTTTAGTATTGTTTATTTTTGTAACATTCAGACGTGCTCCTATTGGACATCTGTAAAAAAAGAGCTTTATAGCTCATTACATTATTCTATGTTTGTCTGGCTTAAAAAAAAGGCACTACAATCTTGCATTTGTATCTTGCTTCTGTTCCTGTCAGTAATAACAATGGTGGTTTAATTGCCCAGCATGGATCTATAGATTAAATAGAGGGTCCCCCTTCGTCTTTAATATCTGGCAGTTCACCAGTATCGATTCGAGACCCACTCTCTGCTGACGAGACGCTCCGTATCAAAACCAGTACACAGTTTGCTCGTATTTAATCGACGCTGCTGAAACCACACGCTGCCAGTTGGCTTAAAGAAGACTTTTATATATTTGTTTTTATGTGGAGCCCAGGCAGATGTATGTAGGCAACGTACTGTCCGCTAATCTAATGCCTAGCAGATCACCGAGTCTCTCCGGAAAACAAGAGGCCTAAAATTAATGACATTTTACAATCACTGCAAATTTTAGCCAAGCCAGAATTGCATCAACACGCAGAATGAACTGCAGTCAACTTGCTGTGAGAAGAAAGGAATGTTGCCATTCTCTACCCTTTAACCTCCTTCACCCCTTGCCAGCTTTAACCCATTACTAACATGAATCATGAAGAAAAAAACTACCATCTGCTGTTATTTCCAAGCACGCGATGAGATGGGTAAGCCAAGATTCTGTTGGACGCCACGGTGGCGAGATGTTATCTACCTCACCTGGTATACAGGAGGTTCGTGGGCTCGATCCCGACGCCTGCATATTTGGAGTTTGCATGTTCTCCCCGTGGTCACGTGGATTTTTCTCCGGGTCCTCCGGTTTTTCCCTCCACATTTAGCAACATACGTTTAGAGTATTTGGGCCGTGATAAATTTCCAAGTGATGATAAGCCACTTTCGTTGGGCTCTCATTTGCGATAGCCTGGTCGCTTCTGATAATGAATAATGGGCCTTACCTGGTAAAATAGAAATTATTTTAATAGTTTTGTTGGGTGCCAGGCATTCACGACACAGCAAGCTGTGAAGCTTTTAACAAGCGATCCATTCCAACTTTGGGAGGGAGGGGGCACATTTTGCGTGAGGAAAACCTCTTGCTCCTTCGAGACTCGTCTCTCCGTGTATTACAAAAAAATACAGCAGCTTGTTTCACGTCAGTGCAGCTGATTCATAGCTCAATCTGCATCCCGATAAAAATGCAGCAGATTTGATTCTTTTTTTATTCTGTTTAAGAGAAAGCGCCTGCTCCCGAGACCGCTTCGTTTAACCTCCCTCCGCTGGACGGATGGTTGCAGCTTCCCTTTTTCCGCCTCAGCCGGGCCTCGTTCATCGCACAACGCGTACGTACGTCCGTCCGTTAATCAAACAAAGCCTCGCAGTGTATATCAAGACTATCCCACGGGAGGCGGGCACGCTTTCAGTCGCAAGTCTCGCCGAGTCCTTGAAAGTGAGGGGCCCTCCACGTGGGAGGGGAACCGAAGCATAAAAAAATAAGGGAAATAACGCCCGTGCGTCGAACCGCTCATGGTGACAATCAATGTCTTTATGGTCGCGTGCTGTACGCGGCGGAGGAGAAGCGGTGGTTAGCGCACTGCGCTTTGAACCCGATGAATCGAGTTCGGCTTCCGTGCCACGGCGAACATCAAGCAGTGAGTGGCATCTAAACTGCTCCCAGCAAAATTTCCCTCCACCAACCTGCACTGACCAACAAGGCGAAGTATGGTCACATAAGCCACATTACAGACAGGGTGTGGCGAGGCCTTCATCCTGCAGTGGACTGATAAATGGATGCAAGTTTGATATGGGTGTATATATATGATCATTATGGCGGTAAAGATAAAGATCCCCCATATAGCCTTAACAGACTGTAGGGGCAAGTGCTGTTAGCGAGCACCAGTGAAGGCCGTAACGGTACACGAAGGGGTGGGTGGCCAGCACCACGCCCGACCGCCTTTGTCTCCCCAGTGGCGATGTTTACCGCACACCGCACCAGGTACTCATTTGAGGCCGAGTCGACCTAGGAGAGGCCCAGGACCGGTTCAGATAATGGTCACTGGGTGTTGGCCGTGAGCGGGAATCGAACCCGGGTCTCCAGGTTCGTAGCGCAGCGCGCTAACCGCTACACCACCGCTCCCTGGGGTACCAAATAATACAAAATCGCCGAGGCAATTGAATATTTTATTTCTGGGACACTATTTTTTTCCAGGGGTACCAATCAATCCGAAATCAGTGCTACTCAGCAATGTCGAAACGCCAAACATTGAATAGTGCATCGTGAGTACAGCTCGTCGAGATGAGTCGATCGCCGCATCGCCGACCATCAACAGACTAAAAATGACTGCATCATGGACATTATGTGAGAGCCGGGGTACTATGATTCCCCGGGGGTACCGCCATAAAGTTCACATATTTTTTGCTCGTAATTAGTTAATGTGGTCCCCCCTTCAGTGATTCACTGCAATGTTATAAAAACATAAATGTTGATTCTTGAACCAAATTATAATCCCGGAATAAACAGTGCTCGTTATCCTCGAACCACCTTCAAATAAAGTGCATAACCCACCGGAAAAATAAAAATAAAATCCCGACTCGTGATCATTCGTGAATTGGGACTCGTTCTGCACCTACGCGACAACCCGTGCCAGATTCTGCGGAAAATACGTGGGCTTCAAAAAAAACTCGGGGGGTGGGGGAGCCTACGCTTACATGCGGTTCTACAACACTTTTTTTTAGACCCAGTGGATGTATCCGACCGTAAACAAACAACAAAGAGGGGCAAGTAAGTAACAATGCTTCTGCCAAACGTAGCCCAGCGGGGGGCACTCGCTCCGCTCGCTCGTGACGGCCTATCGTTCTAGCGGCAAGCGGGGGCCAACCAAGTGCACGCGTGCACACACGGCCGCTTTGTCTCTCGGTGGGATCGGCAAGTGGGGCACATCTGAAAGGTCACCGTTTACGCAAGAGGCCAATCATTCCGCATTCTGCCCACTTTGAAAAAAGTTGAAGTGTATCGCAGGCAGGGGGATATTTGCTTCGCAGATTTTTCCTTTGGCTGGGTTTTGTGGGGGAGGCGACACAAAAGGTACATCCCTGTGCTCGCTTAATGAGATTCTACGCCAAACTTCGAAGTCAACGGGGGAGTGGGATCCCACTTCAACGGACCGCATGGTAGTACTCACAAAACCGCTCAAAGCCCCCCAGAGTGTGGAAACCTCCACCTGCCTCTGAGCAGGAAGTCTCTATCCATTGGCCAACCACTGTTGACTTTCAACAAAGTGGGGACCCTATTCTCCGGATTATAAGAGGCAATTTGTCATAATTCTATCCGGTGGGTTTGTGTGTATTTGTACTTGGCCCAGATTAGCACGTTTTTACTCGCATGCGATCTGCCTAAAGCGATAATCGACTCTTAGCCTCAAATTTCTGTTCGCTCTACGGGCGTGTACGGATTGATCTTAATGCACCAAATCAAAAACGGCCACTCCGTTCATCGGCTCTGGAAACAATTGTGAGCGTCTGCCGAGGCTGAATTAAAAACGGCGAAAGCCTCACAATACTTCAACGTCTGCTCTCCCACTCAACGACTGCCCGCTAATGAGCAGTTTCATCCACAGGCCTGGTAATTTAAGAGAGGGAAAGGGGGGAAAATAAACGTTTTTTTTTAAATCACTCCTGTTCATAATTTTCGAAGAAACATTCCACTGAAGACATTGCACAAAGGTTATGAGTATGGCTCAGAATCGTATGAAAGTCCAGCCAATGACGGTCACAACCCACCAAAGAGCATGGTGCTTGCTCATCGGCCATAATTTTTTTGAAGACTACTGAGCGCAGGGGTTGGCAACCTGTGGATCCTGAGCCAGACGTGGCTCTTTGAGGACTGCTTCGTGATCGTTATTAATTCAGGACCCACCGTCTCGTATTCACCACGTGCATTGGGGGGGGGGGGGGAGGGGGCCTCTTAAATATTGCTTTTTTTTTTACAGAATTCGAAAACAAAAATGCCTCTTGTAATTTTGGCTGCCGACCCCCAACCTAGCGAAAGAGCTGTTATAGGTAAAGGTGCAGCCCTGCAATTGCATGGTGGTGCCGCTGCGAGCGGAAAGGTCTCCACTGGATGAAACTCTGGGGTCTTAAGCCAGGACTTAAAAGTCTCCAACTATAAAACGATCAACTATTTTACCAGGTAAGGCCCACTGAGCTATGTGGCTATTTTTCAGAAGCGACCTGGCCACAAAATAAAGTTCAACTAAGTGGCTTATCATCGTGTGGAAATTTATAGTGGCTAAATAATCTAAACGCACATTGATTCCAAATGTGGAGGGGAAAAACTGGAGCCGGAGAAAAATGTACACAACCACGGGGAGAGAGCGACATGCAAACTCTAAATATGCAGACGTCAGGGTTGGGATCGAACCAACAACCTCCTGCAAAACAGGCGAGGCAATTAACATTTCACCAGCGTGGCGCCCGTCAGGAACTGGGTTCCTGTCCTGAATGGAGAAAGAATTCCATAGACTGGGTGTAATGCAGTTTAAACAGGTGGCAATGTACAACCGTTCAAATATTTTAAATATAAACCGTACACCAATAGGGAAGTGGGAAATTACATTTCCTTCCAAGGTTGGATAAACCCCCAGACAATTAAAGCCATTAAAATGTTTAGCAGGCATTAGCATAGCCCCACTGGTTTAAATAGGCTTCTGGAAATTTCCCTCAACCACCCCAATTATCCCATGACAATTGGGACAATTTGCCACGATTCGGTAGAGGCGATAACAACTCTAAAATCTATCATCTGTCTCATTAAGACGCTCTCATCTGTGCAATCTGCACCGTCCGCAACAAGGTGTTCAATTATACAAGCGCACCGCACACGCCCAAGTCTTCGCGACTGCCTGAACCATCTGTAATTAAGACGGCACGGCAATGTAATAACCGTCAGTTGGTTTGGAGACTCGATGAGGCTTTCCCGTAACTAAAAAAATCAGTCGTGTTATTATTGTTATCATTATTACTCTATCACAAGGTATAAACAAAATAAAAGCAACAGGTCACGGTGCCTTCTCAAAATATTTTTAACGCATGGGGGGGGGGGGGGGGGGGGCTCTCTTGCTTCGTGAATGTCAAAAACGTCAAGAAAACATTTCGATGTCAAACGACCTTGACAAGCCGTAGGTCGGCGTGCCCTTTGTCGGGTGGCAAGGCGCACGCTCCAAGGCCCCGCTTATGCCAAGGCAGCCACCGCGCTCTCAACCATTTAACATCTCGCTGTTGAAGGCAAACGCTACCTCAGGGCAGGGGGGGGGGGGGAAACTGAGATGAGAAAAAAAAAGCTATGCCCTTAAAACAAATATCTCACAGATACCCTCTCGCTCCAGACACCCAGACACTCGCTCATAGGCAGTCAGTCGCCTCCCTATCAGTCTTCTGATAAGGATTATGTGGTAGTTTGCATAAAACCATCATGCGGACCCTCCGGTCATCCTCTGCAATGGCTTTCTGCCCGCATCGCGCATTTTCAGATGTGCTTCCGCGGCCGTCTGGAACGCCCTTCCATCCAATATTAGGAAGGTGTCGGAGATAGGCACTTTTAAATCTAGATTGAAAGCCGATTTCTTTTGAACTGCTTTTTGCATTTAATTGGTTGTCCTTCCCCCACATCTCCAATTAGCACGGTCGGTGACGCAAGGTGCGAAAGAAGCCCAACAAACGTACGTACATACATCTATCGTTACCACCGTGGTTACAGTTGCCGTGAACCTCACTAATTTGGTTCCTCCACCTCGGTCCACCAGACTGACCATGTTGTTTCACCCACGCTATGTTCAACCAACACTCTCCAGGTCACGACAACACCCTCACTTATCCACCCAGTCACTCACTCACTCACCACACTGCAGGTGACAACAACACACTCACTCTTCTATCCACCCACCCACTCACAAAAAACTATTTAAAATAAACGTTGCAATGGCTCCGACGTGTCGAGTTGTACCGTGTGCTATTTGGTACGATGTCCGTTGTTCCTTTGCTCCATGTGCTGGGAGCTTCTCCAGCAACTGAACGTTCAGTTGTTGAATCGTTCCAGAGCTGAACACAGTACGGCGGCCTGATCGTGAAAACCTACACCAGTAGCACAATCACCTGAAATCCCAGCAATTTTCACGCTTTTGTCAAAAACCAAAGCAAGGATTGGCAACATTCACTAACAGGAAAACTAACCAGGTCACTAGCCTGCGCTCCCTGCCCCCCCTCCCCCCCACTCGCCGTACAAAAACAAATTCCAGGTAAGGGGGGGGGGGGGTGTTTACCTGCCGCGTCCCTCTCGTCGGCCTGCGTGCCGCACGACCGGCATTCTTCCGCGCCTCGCTTGCCGGACCCGGAGGAGGAGGGCGACGCCGACAGCGAGCTGGAGTAGCCGGAGGAGGTGGCCGAGGGGCTGCCGCCACTGCCACCGCCCTTGTGGCCGTTGTGCAGCAGCAGCGGTGGCGCCGGCACCGCCGTCGCGGCGGAGGACGGGGACGGGGACGCGCAGCTGTCGGGCGAGGCGGCCTGGCTCTTGCGCGGCGACGCGGCGGGGCTGCCGCCGGCCGTGTCGGCGCGCTCGCGGCTGTGCCACTCGCCCTGGTGGTGCCGCTCCTTCAGCTTCTTCTGCAGCCGCTCGTGTGTCTTGCTGGCGCGCTCGTCGCGGTATGCGTAGCTCTGCCGCCCGTGAGGCCCCGCCGAGTCTGCGGCAGTCCGCGGAAGATGAAAGGAAGGCGCAGGTGAACTCGACAATTTTTTTTTTATTTCAACAGGTAAGGCTCACCGAGCTATATCGCTCTTTTTCAGAAGCAACCTGGCCAGAAATGATAGCTCAACCAAAGTGGCTTATCGCTTGGACATTTATAGCAGACAAATACTCCAAATGCAAGTCGATTCTAAATGTGGAAGGAAAAACCAGAATACTCTTTGGTTCTATTCGGTAAAGTCACGTAGGTAAAAAATAAAACAACAAAAATCACGACGTTTCGGCCGCAACACAAGCGGCCTTCATCAGGTGAAGGGACCAGACTGTCGAGGACAGCGCTGGAGTGAAACACAGCCAAGCTCAGACCGCGACCTTTAAGCTGTGTGAGAGTAATTAAGGTGCCTTGACAAAGGAATTAGCATAAAAATTTGCATTTTAATAGGCGGACTTAGCATGATGAAAGGGAGGGGGTCGACCTGTGCAGGCTGGCGAGGGGGCACGGCAGCGTCCACATGCTGGTTGTGTGAAAAGGGGATTTTAAGAAGCTGCGAAAGTTTGGGGTACCACTACTTGAAAAATATACTGTACCATTGAAAAATTTGTTTAATGTTTGGTTCGATTTAGAACATCTTTCCAATGGTTGCTTAATTTGAAACCATCTTCTCGGTTGAAATTGTGTCTGTGTTTGTAGATCTGAATTGCCTCGTGAACAAATCTCTGATAAAAAACCCGTGGGTTTGCAAAGAACCTTGGTATCGGAGAAAATTATATCGTGATCACCCACAGCGTTGTAACAGTGATCAGCTACGGCAGAAGAATTCGTTCTGCCGTGTTTCAAACTCTGATTTGTGCTCGCGAATTCGGTCAGACATGTCGCTTCGTCTCCCCGATATAGCAATCACCGCAGGTACAACTCAATTTGCAAACCCCGGGGTACTGTAAGTCAGGAATGACATCCTTCACGGATGTGATCAGATCACGAATTTTGTGTACTGTATTGAACCGGACCTGGATCTTGTGTTTGTTTAGAATTTTGGAAATCTTTTTAGTAACGCCTGCTATATATGGTAGTGTGATGGTTTTGACCGGAGTATCAAGTGTTTGTTTCTGTATGGAGGGAGAAACAGCTTGGCGGATGGTACGGTCAGAGTATTCATTCCTTTTGAGGGCAAGGTGTACATGTTTTAATTCACTGGTCAGGTGGTGTTGGTCCGAAATGCAATGAGCCCTATGGTATAAAGTTTTGATGAGAGAATTCTTCTGAGCTGGGTGGTGGTGGGAATCAGGCTTCAAGTAGGAATCCGTGTGGGTGGGTTTCCTGTAGACAGAATGCCCCAACGAGCCATCAGGTCTCCTCTCAAACAGAACATCCAAGAATGGTAGCCTGCCATCCTTCTCCACTTCCATGGTGAATTTGATGGCAGGATGTCTGGAATTGATGTGGTGTAGGAAAAGGTTCAGAGCTGGGAGGCCATGTGGATAAATGACAAAAGTGTCATCCAGATATCTCTTCCACAGGGAAGGTCTGAGGGTGGAAGTCTGGATGGCGTCCGATTCAAATCTACAAATTGAGTTGTACCTGCGGTGATTGCTATATCGGGGAGACGAAGCGACATGTCTCTGAACGAATTCGCGAGCACAAATCAGATTTGAAACACGGCAGAACGAAATCTTCTGCCGTAGCTGATCACTGTTACAACGCTGTGGGTGATCACGATATAATTTTCTCCGATACCAAGGTTCTTTGCAAACCCACGGGTTTTTATCAGAGATTTGTTCACGAGGCAAATTCAGATCTACAAAACAGACACAATTTCAACCGAGAAGATGGTTTCAAATTAGTCAACCATTGGAAAGATGTTCTAAATCGAACCAAACATTAAACAAATTTTTCAATGGTACAGTATATTTTTCAAGTAGTGGTACCTCAAACTTTCGCAGCTTAAAATCCCCTTTTCACACAACCAGCATGTAGACTCTGCCGTGTCACCTCGCCAGCCTGCACAGGTCGACCCCCTCCCTATCTTTCATCATGCTAAGTCCGCCTATTAAAATGCAAATTTTTATGCAATTCCTTTGTCAAAGCACCTTAATTACTCTCACACAGCTTAAAGGTCGCGGTCTGAGCTTGGCTGTGTTTCACTCCAGCGCTGTCCTCAAGACAATCTGGTCCCTTCACCTGATGAAGGCCGCTTGTGTTGTGGCCGAAACGTCGTGATTTTTGTTGTTTTATTTTTTACCTACGTGACTTTACCGAATAGAACCAAAGAGTATGGATCCTTGCAGTCACGAAAGCTTCAAAACTAGAAAAACCAGAATACCCGGAAAAAAAATCCACGCGACCACAGATAACGATGACCGCCCCTCCCCAACACAGTAGCCAATGCTGTCAAGACGCGATGGTGCAACGGGTCCAGCGGACTCGACCTGCTAGAGGTCACCGGTTCAGCTCCATCCCCTGGCACCAACTAACCCGAAAGAAAAACTTTATTATTACGAATAATATTCATTGCGATAAGCGTACTACGTGTTAAGAGCCATACTTAAATACGAAAAAAAAACACGTGGATTAACGTTCTTGTTATTATTATCGTCGTCGTCACCTGGTTCGTAGACCTGCGGGGGCAGCGGCTGAGCGAGGTACTGTGGCGGCACCTCCGCGACCTGCGCGTACATGTGCTGGGGGTGCGGGATGAGGTGCGCCGGCGGGTGGTGCATGTAGTGCGGATGCATGTGCGGGGGGGGCAGGCTGGGGTGGCCGTGCGGGTGGAATTCGTGGGACTGCGGTGTCACCACCACCCTCCGCACGCCATTGTCTTCGATCACCTGGGTTTTGGAGGGGAAGGGGGGGGGGAAAGTGTTGTGGCGGTTTGGAGGAGGTGGAGTGGGTGGTTGAGTGAGTGAGTGGGCCGGTGAGCAAGTGGGTGGGTGGATGAGTGTGTGGGTGAATGTGGATAGTCGAGTGGTTGAGTGAGCGTGTGGGTAGGCGAGCGGGTAGGCGAGCGGGTGGGCGAGTGAGTTAGTGAGTGGGTTTGTGGGTGGGTGAGCGTGGGTTTGGGGGTGAGTAGGGGAGGATGGAGAGGGGACAGAGGAGAAAGAAATGGAAGAAAGGTCAACCACAGTTACCCACATCCGCCAGGATCAAACCACAGCCCCAACTCTCCCCCTCAAGTAAATTGCATTCAAAGACTAAGGTTCACACACGGTCTAGTAACTGAAGCAATTGAGGGCCTATATAATAATAAAGGCAATAATGGGTGTTTTAATGAAATGTGCTGTCTGTTTTGATTAAGTTACATAAAAAAATGAAATGATGACTTCAGCCTTAAGTCTTTAAAACCTGAAATGTAATGAGCATCGATTTAAATTGAACAGCACTGGTTCAATATGAACAGCGCAGCTTAACAGACCCTTTGTCTATCTACTCCCGAAGCCGAGTTGGTCCAGAAGGATGTTTAACCATATTTCACCAAGCCAGTCACCGCATGGGTTGCTTTGTGCCCTCTCGTTTTAATTTGGGGAGCCTTGGATCGCTTTCTGGAAATTTCAGCGATTACTCGCTCAATGTTGCCATCTCGGTGACCAGAGGTTGACAGATCTGCTGCATCAAAATAAAATGTCCCTAATTTATCCAGGAAAGCCTAATATGGGTTTCTATACTATTTGTGTCTTTATAAACGTGTGATAAGTGGATAATGGGCTTGTCGATTGTTCAAGTTGCTTTTATCAACTGTTTTGAAGAGGCAAGGTGCACTTCTGACACTATTTAAATAAAATATATCTAGAAGCGTGGAAGTCACAGAAGTGGGGAAGTCAGCCAGAACTGGCACCAACAATTGCCCAAGCTCTGTGGCCCTATATTGGGATGTTTGCTCAACCTCATCAACGATTCTTTATATACACATGTGGGAGGAAATCTGGAGAACAGAGAAAACCTACAACTGCAAGGGATGTAACACTCAATCCCCGCACAGATGGAATGCAGATAAAAAATAAATCCTACTTTATGTTCTGCCACCAAACCCTGGCAAGCGAGGAGTTGAGGAGTCTCGCGAATCTGTGCGATCCACCAAACTCCTCGCCGACTCCACAGCGCTGGGCTACAGGCCACGTGCATGGCCACCAAACGTCGGGGCGAACGTTTGCAGCGCACGAACGGTCGACGCAAGCGCTGCACTCCAACGATAACTGCAACGTATTTCCACGGCAATGCGCACGATAGATGATTGGTACAGCATCGGTCCGTCACGAGGTGCTATCGTGATCAGTGGCATCGCCCATACGCAGCCTCCACGGGACGCTTCATTTCCTTCCTCTCTATTTAGAGAGTCTTGATCGATGACCAGAAAGTCACGGACAAACAGACCAGCAGATTGCCTTCCCCGAGGTATTGCAAAACGCCCGAGCGCAAACGCGGTGCAACGTGGATTTGCGCAGCGTATAAGCACAACCGTGTCTCAAGAGGTTGCTGCAGCACAAAAAAAAACGAGTGGGAGACAAGTCAGCCTAGTTCGGTTGCTCCATTGGTCTGTCTCTGTGTGTGCGTCTATGGATGTTTGTGTGAGTATATACATCACGCAAAACAATGTGGATTTATACAGCGTCTGAATGTGTAATCTCAAAGATGCAGTATAGTCATCAGCTATATGAAGGTGAGATGTCTCATACTGGAATATACAGATTTCAATTTAGGTATTAAATCTTTTGTTGCAAGAGCCTCACCGAGTCTCGTAACTCTCAGGAAGGTCCTGCCAAGTTCTCGCAGTGGTGGGGGAGGGAGATGATTCCTATGCAGATTCCAACCGAGTAATTTGCGAGCAACTTTCCAAACGCGGCAAATTTGGACCAAGACTACACTTTGCAAGGGCCTAACTCTTGCTCGTGATGTCACAGGATCTTTAACGTCTGCTGCGAGTGAAGGAAACGGAGCGTGGTATTTTTATGGTTCATACTCCACAGTATTTAGCGGGGCAGCCGATGGATGCGAACCACAGAACCTCTGCAATGAGCAAACGCAAAACCGCTAGACCGCATCAACGCCTCCCGTTGATTTGGCAGTTTCATTCTCATTATTAAGTTATTTTACTCAAACAATATTAATGTTTAAACGAGCCATGACCATCAGTTTAATACATTTCTTACTTAATTAATCTTATTTATTATTTAGGTACTTTAGAAATGCATGAAGCGCAACAGGCCGCAAAGAGGTATCAGAGCGTCGTAGAGTAAAGGAAAACAACTTTAAATAAAAGTCAGGAAAACATACATAAGAAATAACAGTATATTATATAATAGCAAGAAGGCATGTTAATTATATCTTCTTCAAAATGGTATCATGTTAATGACACCACCTCCTGAACAAAAAAACTGAATTTCTCCAAAATGAGTTAAATTTCTCATAAATTATGAACACGTTTGCTGCATTGCATTACAAGCTATACAGTAAATCATTAATATCCTTATAATCAGTTTTGAATAAGGTTGCTTATATTTGTAAGATCCATTTATGAAGATAGATATTTATGTCACAAGAGCACCTTTTTAAAGCATGATTAATAATTTTTCGGGAAGCTGTTAGGATTATTATATTTCTCCCCAGACTCAGATGCTGGGAGTGGTGGCACAGTGGTTAGCGCATTGCAGTAGATTATTTTTATTATTTGACAGCTATACATTTTTACATAAGCCACTTTGTTGAACTTTTATTTGTGGCTCAGTGGGCTTTACCTGGTAAAATAAAAAGGATATAGTTTAGTATCATTTATATATTTAGTGATTTTCTTATCTTTCCTATACTTTGCACTCCTATAGTAGTTTTATAGTTTTATAGGTTGTAACTTTCTGACCCGCCCCTACTGAACATTTGTGAAAAATAGTTATACAGCTCATCGGATTCCTTCAGCATATATACGTATACTGATTCTGACTATCAATATCGCTACCCGAGTTCGGTTTGCATTCATGGCATAACACCAGCGGCGGTGCGATATCTGGCGAACCGGTTACCATTAAAAAAACGGGACCTTTTTGCCAGTATCAGTGTAGTGACATAAATGGTGTCACAAGGGTGTTCACGCCACCTACTGTTACAGGAGTGCAACTGTGCGTCTGGAGCCTCTCTCTAGCACCAGAGTAAGTACGGCATGTCAGCCAGCCCTCGGGGGGCATCGTCCTGGTGATGGCCTGAGAGAGGGCGAGTGAGGACGCGGTAGCCCGAGTGAACCCGAGAGGACACGTGATGCTCGGTCGAGATCCTAAAGGGAAAGGTCTCGAAGGGGGCGTGGCCGAAAACGGCGAAGCGAGGCCACGCTCAGCAGCATCAAGGGGCACTCCCGAGAACGTTCTTGGCTCGTGTTGTGGAAAGCAAGCCTGGGTCCCGCGTCTCATCGTCTCCGGGTCTTCGTCTCGAGTTAACTCGCTACTCACGTAGTTAGCCACATCACCTACTATAGAACCCGAGTCACGGTCAGTGTTACCCGCTAGGGAAGTTGTTAAATAAAAAGTGTTGCCTCCGTGTTGAACACAACAAAAGTATTAAAACATAACAATAGCTTTTAACCCTTTCTGACAATAAAACAGCAGGTGTTAAGATGTCCAAACACCAAATTGAAAGAAACGTTTTGCAAGGAATCAAGTCTGCATTAACCACAGTACTCGGTTACCGTTATACACGCAATGGGTCCATGTTAACCAACCCACCGTCCCCACACAACGCTCGCACCACAATGCTAAAATACATTCTGGAATCTTAAGTCTCGAATCTAATCGCAACAAAACGGAATCGCCAAATGGCGACGATTCGCATAACCGATAGGATGCGAGACGTTTCGAGTTGATCATCATTGATATTTTTCACTTGGTTTTGCATTCACAACTGCAATTGTGAGCCTGGACAATTTGTTCGATTGAGCCGATTAATCGGTGGCTAATGCGAGAGGGCCATGACGGGAAGGGGGGGGGGAGTTTCCAGATTGATCCAGCAGTAGATTCACTCCGGGTGACTCTTTCTAGGATTCGGGGATGTTTGTTTGTTTGACACCCCCCCATTTTCAGAGCCAAAATCAATGCATTTATTTGATCGCGCGACACCAGTTTGAATTAGGGTGGCGAATGCAGCAAGCTAACCACTTGTTGTTCATCACGGCCACACAAGCCACCTGGGTTCGATTCTAGACTCGGGTGTGCCTGCATGGAGTGTCTCTACGTTTGTGCCTCTGTTAAAACTGTCCAGTAGTTACCCTACAGGGTAACTGGTATCCGGCCATACATATCGCAATCCTGAAACAAATCCCTTAAAATTAGTTAAATTGGGATTACGTACACAGCACACAACAGCAACAGCAACATTGGACGAAAAATATTGCAGAGACCCCCACCCCGCCTGAACAAGTCCAGTAACTGTGAGGCTCTCCTGGGGTGAAATAATAAAATAAACATCAGTTTCTTATTGTTAATTATAAGTGGGGTTTTTTGTATTTTATCCCCCCCACCCCGAGCAAAATTATCATTTAAGCCGATTAGTTGTGCAGGTGAATTATTGATGGCCTTATACCGTAATGGGCACACCGCCACGAGGGAGACAAAGGCGGTCGGGCGTGGTACTGGCCACCACGCCCTCGTGTGCCACAGCGCCGGCCTTCGCAGGTGCTCACTTACAGCACTTGCCCGAAAGTCTGTAACGGCTACACGGGGGATCTTTGTCTTTGTAGAGCGTTTCAATGATAGCTCAACAACCAGTGCCTAGAAACAACAACAAACAGCCGCCGCCTTTCACGACTAAGTTGGCAAGGAGACGTCAACCACACGGCGCTTGTGCCAGGCTAGGT